AAGAGGACCGAGCACACCCCCATTCTCATCGACAGGGCTGTAGTGGAGCAGGTTGAGAGTGTAGTGTCTGAGGAATTATGACTTTGCTAACGTTTCAAAGTGGAACCTGAGAGGATGTTTATTCAGTTTTAGAGGGAGCAGTTTTGTGGGGACACACCATAGAACAGAAGAAGTCTGTTGTGTGGAGAGAGGTGATTGGTCTGTAGGGGAACACCCATATCAGATTACATAGAATATATACCACAGTTAGGACAGAGGAGAAGCAGAATAATCAGATTTGAGATGGGGCGATTATTCTCCGGGTATCTGCAGGTATCTGTAAATCGACGCTGTAACCCTTTGCTATGAATAAACCTTATGATGAAAATACAGCGTCAGCGGTTCTCCTTGTTATCACAGCATAATTAGCAACGCTTGCTCGACACAACAAGAGCTTCAAGTTCCTTGGTGTCCACATCACCAACAAACGATCATGGTCCAAACACACCAAGACAGTCGTGAAGAGGACACGACAAATCCTATTCCCCCTCAGGAGACTGAAAAGATTTGGCATGTGTCCTCAGATCCTCAAAAAGTTATACAGCTGCACCATCGAGAGCATCCTGACTGGTTGCATCACTGCCTGGTATGGCAACTGCTCGGCCTCCGACCGCAAGGCACTACAGAGGGTACTGCGTACGGCCCAGTACATCACTGGGGCCAAGCTTCCTGCCATCCAGGACCTCTACACCAGGCAGTGTCAGAGGAAGGCCCTAAAATTGTCAAAGACTCCAGCCACCCTAGTCATAGACTGTTCTCTCTGCTACCGCACGGCAAGCGGTACTGGAGCGCCAAGTCTAGGTCCAAAAGGCTTCTTAACAGCTTCTACCCCCAAGCCATAAGACTACTGAACAGCTAATCAAATGGCTACCTGGACTATTTGCATTGTCTCTCTCTCCCTCCAACACACCCATCTTTTACGCTGCTGCTACTCTCTGTTTATTATCTATGCATAGTCACTTTAACTCAACCTACATGTACATATTACCTCAATTACCTCGACTAACCTGTGCCCCCGCACATTGACTCTATACCGGTACCCCCTGTATATTGCCTCGCTATTTTTTAGTTCTCTTTTTTTTTTACTTAACACTTATTTTTCTTCAAACTGCATTGTTGGTTAAGGGCTTGTAAGTAAGCATTTCACTGTAAGGTCTACATCTGTTGTATTCGGCGCATGCGACAAATACAATTTGATTTGATTTATCAGGTATGCATTTAATTTTTTTTACCTTGTTTTGGTTTCAACCGTCCAGTTGGTGGCGGCAATACACCTTTTTGGGGTTGTAGTCCACCATAAAACCCACAGAAGAAGAAAAAGAACGTGTCTTACTGAAGTGAACCAGGAGATGGGGAGGATGCTTACAATTTGTTTCGTCCCTACATAAATGAACTTTCACAACTACTGTTGCGCAGTCACAAAGTCAAGTATGCAATTCTGTGTGACTTGTTTTTTTTAGATGGTATCCAAAGCCTTTCCAATCAGAAAATACATCGTATTGGTTATGTGTATTTCTTTATGATTGCAGCCTATACATATATTATTTTGTGCTTCTGTGCTGGGAAGAGCGCGCGCGCTGAAGGTGCTTATGCAGTAAATCTTACAATGAGAGGTGAGTTTTTGACAAAATGTTTTTTTTACAATGGCACCAAACCTTCAGATTATTTTTGTCTTTGTCATTAATTCACGTTAATAATTGTGTTTTAGAGTGCCTCGTGTTCGTCTGGGCATGTATCCTGCTGCTAAGGTTACCAACATGTCGCGGGGAGGAAGTCAAAGACGCCAGTGCAAATGTTGGTAGGTGTCTAGTACCTTATATTATTTCAACCTATAGCAGGGATGGGCAACTGGTGGAATTTGCTTTAAAAATGCATTTAATGGTTTCTACGCTCCATGGCAAAATGTGTAAATTGCAGGAAATTTCTCTGCTGTCAAGAGTGGGGTGGCTAAATTGTTTTGCTCGCAGGTTGGGGGGGCAAAAGGCCGACTCCGACAAAAGACCTGGGCCGACTACATTGGTATGGATATAGGTAACCCCATCAAAGTTGCCCATCCCTGACCTATAGTGTCATTACTATCTAGTATCAATATGTTGAAATTCTATCAACTTGATTATATGAGAGGTATACAATTATTTAAAACTGCTGAAAATAATATCCAAAACATCTCTAAAGACCACATCGTATCCAGTGGCGGCTCCTGAAAAAATTCTCAGGGGGGGCAATTTTTCTGATGATTTAGGTGACCTACACACATTTAAAAAAAGATATGTCCAGCAACAACATGAAGACAGGGGCAGCATATAAGTCAATACCAGAAGCATTTATTGACTGATCTCAAAAGTGTTGGCTTACAAAAGCAAAATAAGTTATCACAGTAAAAATAATCAAGGGTGTTCTTTCACATTCCTCAACACTGCATAAACAATATGCATTTCCATAAAACACCTCATCTAATTGTGCCACAAAGTTGACAAGTCCAAGAAAAATACCAGGGTTGGTGGAGCCCTCAGTTTCATCTTTGCCTCGCAAAGCTAACTCAAACACTCCGCAAAACTTCACACACTGGATTAGCCGGCTGAGGATGTGGCGGTTCTTGCTAACCTCATCGTTGTGGCGGCGGACAGCTAGCCTGTATCCCTCATCCAGTTGAGTGGCAATGTTCACTCTCCCCAAAGCAGACAATCTCAAACAGCTATCCATATGGGTCTTTGACAGCTCATGTTTCTTAATCTTTTCTGAAAGATGGTGCATATCCGTTACACCAGTCGCTGTCCAAGCGGTGCTGTCTGCCGTGCCGCCTTCAGGGTGAAAGAGTAAGCAGGGGTAGCAGAAGACTGCATTAGCTACATCGCAGCCTGCTAGCCAGGTTTTTCGTTCATACCAATTTTTGGAAAATCCTCGGGTGTAGGACTTTCCCCCTTTTAGTAGAAACCTGTTGAATTATTAAATTGGGTCTGGGAGGTCCTAATTGTTTCGTTGCCAATTTATCTTGATTTGTTCGCCGACAAAAAGGAACTTCTTTCAAAGAGACAATCGAGTTGCACTGAACGCTAGCCATCTTGACAGTAGTACGTGAATTGATTGACGCTGCTACCCGCTCTTTTCTTAGTTACGTTCATGGTTATGTTACATATGACAAAAGCGCGTAAGTGCAAGCCCTCCCGGAACCCATAGAGATTGTATTGAAAGCTCTGATATTTGAAAAAGAAAGATTTTACATGAGAGTCTATGAGAGACTTCTGGGGCGATTTTCAACCTGACTGAAATCGCCCCAAAAGGGGCGGGGCCATTTGAAGCACGACTTTAGCCTGATTGGACATTTAGTGGCAGATCAGACGTCTAGATTAGAACACTGATAACTACTGTTGCCGTGATATAATTGATTAGGAAAAAAATCCCTTCCTTTTCCCGTTTGGCAGTGCGTCGCCCTAATGAAAACACCGCCCCTGATCGTATCTTTACATTTTCCAAAGTATACACCATTAATATGAAGCTAAAATGAACAGGCGTCCAGACTTATTTGTTTGTATGGCAACACAGATGACACAAGTAACGTGTCGTGGTTGATGCTTATTTACAAAACCCTCTTAGGCCTCACTCCCCCCTATCTGAGATACCTACTGCAGCCCTCATCCTCCACATACAACACCCGTTCTGCCAGTCACATTCTGTTAAATGTCCCCAAAGAACACACATCCCTGGGTCGCTCCTCTTTCCAGTTCGCTGCAGCTAGCGACTGGAACGAGCTGCAAAAAACACTGAAACTGGACAGTTTATCTCCATCTCTTCATTCAGACTCAATCATGGACACTCATACTGACAGTTGTGGCTGCTTCGGGTGATGTATTGTTGTCTCTACCTTCTTGCCCTTTGTGCTGTTGTCTGTGCCCAATAATGTTTGTACTATGTCTTGTGCTGCTACCATGTTGTTTTGATGTTGGGTTGCTACCTTGCTGTGTTGTCATGTGTTGCTGCCATGCTATGTTGTCTTAGGTATCTCTTTATGTAGTGTTGTCTCTCTTGTTGATGTGTGTTTGGTCCATTTTATTTATTTATATTTATTATTATTATTATTATTATTTTATTTGTTTATTATTATTGTATCCCAGCCCCTGTCCCCGCAGGAGGCCTTTTGGTAGGCCATCATTGTAAAAAAGAATTTGTTCTTAACTGACTTGCCTAGTTAAATAAAGGTTAAATAAAATAAATAAAAAAACCTATTTGCAAGTGGAGGAAGCCAGTTTGAAATAAGTGATTTGCAGTGAAGGATCATGCAATTTATTTGTACAAATAAATTGACATATCCCTAACTGTACAAATCTTAAACTTCCGTTGTTTGGTCATTTTAAAGGGTTGGGGGGAACACCATGGTGTTAATACACATTTTATATTATAAATATTCTCCCCAATATCTGTGCTGTCGGTTGAATGCGTTGACTACTAGCACAGTATAGGGCTATGTTTCCTATCAAGAAGCCAGAGTTTCCTCTAGGCAGAAAGAGACTGAAAGACTCCAGTTATCTAAATGACATGACTGAAGAATCCTCTAAATTAGGAAGGATCTGCTGAACTACTGCCACTCATACATCCACTCTTCATTTTGAAAATGATAAATGCTATTTATGATCATCTCAATGGATATGTGTCTGTCTGTGAGGGAAGGCCAGGAAGCTGTAACATGATAGAGATGGCAGGGCCAAGGATGTGAGAGTTGGCATCTTGCTTGTCTCATGGCAGCAGACATTTCTGTTACCACAGCCCTCCGACCCCAGTCTGACTCTCAGTAGTCCTAACACTCTTCTTTCCTGGTTTGCTAGTTTATAGGCTGAATCTTAATTTGAGATGATTCAACCTACTGTATATGCACTTGTGCATTGCTGCAAGTGGGAGATTTGTGTGAAAATAGTAGGTTAGGTTGTTCACACCTCGAGTTTGGATTTGTCCCTGACTAAGATAACATGCTCAGAGCTAAATTAGCTGTGGTTCTGGTGAGTGTCCTCGCCAGGTGACGTCACATAATTACTGTAATAAATATCTTCCCTACCTCATCAAGCAAAAGGGAGTAGGGCAACACATAAAGTTCCAGCCTGAGATTATTGTTCTGCTTATGCTATAAGCACAGTTTTCAGGCTGGCACCCAAGCTAGAGAGACATTCAACAAATGGACACCATCTATTGTGTCTTGGCAATTTTTACTGTAGCTGACAAATTTATGACAATGATGCACTATGCTGATCAGGAAAAAGTATGCGTCCTACTAGGAAAAACTCTGCTATTCCTGGTAAGGTCACATGGTCAGAAAAAGCTCAGTGCCTAAACTATACTTTAATTGACATGTGTATGTTTTATAATTTGCAGTGAATCCCTGTTGCTATTACCCCTGTCAGAACTGGGGCGTGTGTGTCAGGTTTGGCACTGACCGCTATGAATGTGACTGCACTCGCACCGGCTTCTATGGACAGAATTGCACTATCCGTAAGTGAAATGTTTTGTTTCTACATTCTTCTGATTTCAAGTTGTATTTTCAATTTTCCTCTCTGGTTTATCAAAACATGGTTATCCTTTCCTCATGTGCAGAAGGGTTTGTAACAAGATGAAAAGGAAAAAGTACAATGTGTGTGTTTAACTAGTTCCACAGCCTTTGTTAGTGAAGATGCCCAAATAATAATTTCTAGTTGAATGAACATATGAGACAAGTTGAGCAAACACATCATTTTAAGTTGACTGAATTTCTGCCAAAGTTGGAGCTAAGTTTGGGCCAACTAAACATTTTAAGTTCAGGTAACACTTTGACCGAAATGGATATACTCGGAGTACATATCCCAAATGAAATAAATGATCTCACTGAATACATTTTTATAGAATGTTAGCAAAAATAGATAAGATCTTCCTACCATGGAAAGGTAAATACCTGTCTATTTGTGGAAAAATCACCCTGATTAACTCTTTAGTATTATCCCAGTTTACCTATTTGCTTATGGTCTTGCCTATGCCTAGCGACTGTTTTTTTAAATTATATGAGAAAAAAATATTTCATTTTATTTGGAATGGCAAGCCAGGCAAAATTAAACGGGTCCATTTATATAATTAATATGAATTCGGAGGACAGAAATGATTAAATATTAAAGCTTTAGACCTATCACTAAAAGCTTCAGTCATATAAAAGTTATACTTAAATCCGAACTGGTTCTCTAGCAAATTAGTAAGATTGTCTCACCCCATGTTCAAGAATGGCCTTTTTCCCTTTATTCAGATTACAACCTCTCACTTTCAGTTATTTTAATAGGAAATCATCTCCCAAATATAACTATTTCTAAAACAAGCCATAGAAAGGTGGTTGCAATTTCAATTGAATCCTCCAGAAACGACAGAACAAATAATGTAACAAATATTGTGGTTAAACTCAAATATACTAATTGATAGAAAACCATAATTTTTTGAAAAAAAATAAAAATAAGATATAATCTTCTTAAATGATATCATAGGTAGGACTGGTGGAGTTATGTCGCACGTGCAACTAACAAAAACATATGGAAATGTCTGCTCTACCCAAAATTACAACCAAATAATTGCAGCATTACCGCTAAAATGGAAGAGGAAAGTGAAAGGGGGGAAAAGTAAGGAACTTGTCTGTCGGCCCTGCATTAAAGAACATAATTGGTTAAAGAAAATTGTGATAAATAAAAAAGTATTCCAGTTTCATTTAAGGACCAAAGGATTGACAGCCGTCCCATATAGATTGCAAAATAGTTGGGAAGAGATTTTTTATGTACGGATTCCATGGCATAGTGTTTATGAACTGATACGCAAAACGAGACCGGATTCAAAACGTAGATTTTTTAAAATTTAAATTATACAAAATTCTTGCTACCAATAGAATGTTATTTATATGGGGGATACAATCTTCCCAGCTCTGCAGATTTTGCTGCCAAGAGACAGAATCATTAGATAATTTGTTTTGGTACTGTCCATTTGTAGCTTGTTTTTGGTCACAGGTCCAGGAATGGCTGAAGGATTGCAATATTTACCTGGAGCTATCCCTGCAGATAGCACTACTGGGTGATCTGAAAAGTCATAGTCAATCGATCAATAATATAATAATACTTTTAGCAAAAAAATGTACTTTCATTTACAATCTGTAGAAACAATGAGAATAGAAGGGTTCAGAACTTTTGTGAAACATATTATGGCAAATAGAAATCCAATATGGATGGTGTTGAGAGATAGATGGGAGGTGTTGAATGGAGCTGAAGGATGGGACTAATAACAACTAACAACAAGATAACTAATGTAAAGCATACGGTGTCCATAATAAGTATATAGGTTATAGGTTGAGAGCTTTTGTAAAGAGCACAGTTAGAAAGATATGGCATATAGAAGCAAACCGGATGGACATCATGAAAATGTTTGGAGAGGTTGAGGGTAGAAGAAGTTCATGAGTAAAAACAAACAAAATATAATTATTGTAAAATTGACTGTCCATAAAATGTATATAGTGTATATATAAACTGGAAGTAGAGGCCTAAGCGTTGTTGTTCACTAGTTTACTCCAATTAGGGGAGGGGTGGTGGGGTTGGAGGGTAATAAAGGGAAATATATTTAAAAAAGGGATATGTATTTATGTGTGTGTGTGTGTATGTATGTGTATATACATACAGTTGGGAAAACAAGTATTTAGTCAGCCACCAATTGTGCAAGTTCTCCCACTTAAAAAGATGAGAGGCCTGTAATTTTCATCATAGGTACACGTCAACTATGACAGACAAAATGATAATTTTTTTTCCAGAAAATCACATTGTAGGATTTTTAATGAATTTATTTGCAAATTATGGTGGAAAATAAGTATTTGGTCAATAACAAAAGTTTCTCAATACTTTGTTATATACCCTTTGTTGGCAATGACACAGGTCAAACGTTTTCTGTAAGTCTTCACAAGGTTTTCACACACTGTTGCTGGTATTTTGGCCCATTCCTCCATGCAGATCTCCTCTAGAGCAGTGATGTTTTGGGGCTGTCGCTGGGCAACACAGACTTTCAACTCCCTCCAAAGATTTTCTATGGGGTTGAGATCTGGAGACTGGCTAGGCCACTCCAGGACCTTGAAATGCTTCTTACGAAGCCACTCCTTCGTTGCCCGGGCGGTGTGTTTGGGATCATTGTCATGCTGAAAGACCCAGCCACGTTTCATCTTCAATGCCCTTGCTCACTCAAAATCTCACGATACATGGCCCCATTCATTCTTTCCTTTACACGGATCAGTCGTCCTGGTCCCTTTGCAGAAAAACAGCCCCAAAGCATGATGTTTCCACCCCCAAAGCATGATGTTTCCACCCCCATGCTTCACAGTAGATATGGTGTTCTTTGGATTCAACTCAGCATTCTTTGTCCTCCAAACACGACGAGTTGAGTTTTTACCAAAAAGTTATATTTTGGTTTCATCTGACCATATGACATTCTCCCAATCCTCTTCTGGATCATCCAAATGCACTCTAGCAAACTTCAGACGGGCCTGGACATGTACTGGCTTAAGCAGGGGGACACGTCTCCCACTGCAGGATTTGAGTCCCTGGCGGCGTAGTGTGTTACTGATGGTAGGCTTTGTTACTTTGGTCCCAGCTTTCTGCAGGTCATTCACTAGGTCCCCCCGTGTGGTTCTGGGATTTTTGCTCACCGTTCATGTGATCATTTTGACCCCACGGGGTGAGATCTTGCGTGGAGCCCCAGATCGAGGGAGATTATGAGTGGTCTTGTATGTTTTCCATTTCCTAATAATTGCTCCCACAGTTGATTTCTTCAAACCAAGCTGCTTACCTATTGCAGATTCAGTCTTCCCAGCCTGGTGCTGGTCTACAATTTTGTTTCTGGTGTCCTTTGACAGCTCTTTGGTCTTGGCCATAGTGGAGTTTGGAGTGTGACTGTTTGAGGTTGTGGACAGGTGTCTTTTATACTGATAACAAGTTCAAACAGGTGCCATTAATACAGGTAACGAGTGGAGGACAGAGGAGCCGCTAAAAGAAGAAGTTACAGGTCTGTGAGAGCCAGAAATCTTGCTTGTTTGTAGGTGACCAATACTTATTTTCCACCATAATTTGCAAATAAATTCATTTAAAATCCTACAATGTGATTTTCTGGAGAAAAAAAATCTGAATTTGTCTGTCATAGTTGACGTGTACCTATGATGAAAATTACAGGCCTCTCATCTTTTTAAGTGGGAGAACTTGCACAATTGGTGGCTGACTAAATACTTTTTTTCCCCACTGTACATACATACAGAAATACGCATGTCAAAAATTGTATAAATAGATTTGCATTTTATTTTATTGACGTTTGGCAACTCGAACCTTCAGCTCCCTCCACAGACTTTCTATGGGATTAAGGTCTGGAGACTGGCTAGGCCACTCCAGGACCTTAATGTGCTTCTTCTTGAGCCACTCCTTTGTTGCCTTGGCCGTGTGTTTTGAGTCATTGTCATGCTGGAATACCCATCCACGACCCATTTTCAATGCCCTGGCTGAGGGAAGGAGGTTCTCACCCAAGATTTGACTGTACATGGCCCCGCCCATCGTCCCTTTGATGCGGTGAAGTTGTCCTGTCCCCTTAGCAGAAGAACACCCCCAAAGCATCATGTTTCCACCTCCATGTTTGACGGTGGGGATGGTGTTCTTGGGGTCATAGGCAGCATTCCTCCTCCTCCAAACAGGGCGAGTTGAGCATTGCAACTCCACGAGGTGAGATCTTGCATGGAGCCCCAGGCCGAGGGAGATTGACAGTTATTTTGTGTTTCTTCCATTTGCGAATAATCGCACCAACTGTTGTCACCTTCTCACCAAGCTGCTTGGCGATGGTCTTGTAGCCCATTCCAGCCTTGTGTAGGTCTACAATCTTGTCCCTGACATCCTAGGAGAGGTCTTTGGTCTTGGCCATGGTGGAGAGTTTGGAATCTGATTGCTTCTGTGGACAGGTGTCTTTTTACACAGGTAACAAACTGAGATTAGGAGCACTCCCTTTAAGAGTGTGCTCCTAATCTCAGCTCGTTACCTGTATAAAAGACACCTGGGAGCCAGAAATCTTTCTGATTGAGAGGGGGTCAAATACTTATTTCCCTAATTAAAATGCAAATCAATTTATAACATTTTTTACATGCGTTTTTCAGGATTTTTTTGTTGTTATTCTGTCTCTCACTATTCAAATAAACCTACCATTAAAATTAGACGGATCATGTCTTTGTCAGTGGGAAAACGTACAAAATCAGCAGGGGATCAAATACTTTTTTCCCTCACTGTATTTATGTGTATGTATATACGTGTGTGTGTGTGTATGTATGTATGTATGTATGTATGTGTTTGTGTGTATACAGTTGAAGTCGGAAGTTTACATACACTTACGTTGTATGTAAACCACTCCACAAATTTCTTGTTAACAAACTATAGTTTTGGCAAGTCGGTTAGGACATCTACTTTGTGCGTGACACAAGTAATTTTTCCAACAATTGTTTACAGACAGATTATTTCACTTATAATTCACTGTATTACAGTTCCAGTGGGTCAAAAGTTTACATACACTATGTTGTCTGTTACTTTTAAACAGCTTGGAAAATTCCAGAAAATTATGTCATGGCTTTAGAAGCTTCTGATATGCTAATTGACATCATTTGAGTCAATTGGAGGTGTACCTGTGGATGTATTTCAAGGCCTACCTTCCAACTCAGTGCCTCTTTGCTTGACATCATGGGAAAATCAAAAGAAATCAGCTAAAACCTCAGAAAGAAGTGTGTAGACCGCCACAAGTCTGGTTCATCCTTTGGAGCAATTTCCAAACAATAGTATGCAAGTATAAACACCATGGGACCACGCAGCCGTCATACCGCTCAGGAATGAGCGAACGTAGAGATGAACGTACTTTGGTGCGAAAAGTTCAAATCAATCCCAGAACAACAGCAAAGGACCTTGTGAAGATGCTGGAGGAAACTGGTACAAAAGTATCTATATCCATAGTAAAACGAGTCCTATATTGACATAACCTGAAAGGCCGCTCAGCAAGGAAGAAGCCACTGCTCCAAAACCACCATTTAAAAAAAGAACGACTACGGTTTGCAACTGCACATGGGGACAAAGATCGTACTTTTTGGAGAAATGTCCTCTGGTCTGATGAAACAAAAATAGAACTGTTTGGCCATAACGACCATTCTTATATTTGGAGGAAAAAGGGGTCTGCTTGCAAGCCGAAGAACACCATCCGATCCGTGAAGCACGGGGGTGGCAGCATCATGCTGTGGGGTTGCTTTGCTGCAGGAGGGAATGGTGCACTTCACAAAATGTATGGCATCATGAGGAAGGAAAATTATGTGGGTATATTGAAGCAACATCTCAAGACATTAGTCAGGAAGTTAAAGCTTGGTCGCAAATGGGTCTTCCAATTGGACAATGACCCCAAGCATACTTCCAAAGTTGTGGCAAAATGGCTTAAGGACAACAAAGTCAAGGTATTGGAGTGGCAATCACAAAGCCCTGACCTCAATCCTATAGAAAATGTGTAGGCAGAACTGAAAAAGCGTGTGCGAGCAAGGAGGCCTACAAACCTGACTCAGTTACACCTGCTCTGTCAGGAGGAATGGGACAAAATTCACCCAACTTATTGTGGGAAGCTTGTGGAAGGCTACCCGGAACGTTTGACCCAAGTTAAACAATTTAAAGGCAATGCTACCAAATACTAATTGAGTGTATGTAAACTTCTGACCCACTAGGAATGTGATGAAAGAAATAAAAGCTGAAATAAATCATTCTCTCTACTATTATTCTGACATTTCACATTCTTAAAATAAATTGGTGATTTGTCTGCTCTCTCTGTGTTTTAGCTGAGTTCTGGACGAGGGTCCACCAGCTGCTGAAGCCGAGCCCTGACGTGGTCCACTACATCCTCACACACTTCCACTGGATGTGGAACCTCATCAACAGGACCTTCATGCGGGACTGGCTAATGAGGGTGGTCCTCACAGGTTAGTCGCCTGACATTCAATGCAGTCATGAGCATTCGGGCACAAAATGGTTGCTATAGTGGGCACTGCGTATAATGGGTGGAAGGGCTAACTTAGTCCCATAAAATGTACAATGCTTTGCAACGAGGTGAAACATGCTATGATGATGGAAATGCATGCATGGATCCATTGTGGTGTTGGAACAGTTGAAAATGCATAAATGCTCTCCAAAGTGCTTCTAGAATTGCATCCTTACCCCATTATCACTGCTCAGACCCATACATATTCATATCTACTCTTATGGCACTGTGTTAAGAGAAGAGTTTGTCTTCCCTACCAATGCACTCATTGGATAGTTTGCTTACAACTTGTCCATTTGCTTAATGGTTTCTCTGTTATGTTCTCAGCATGTAAATATTTGGATAACACACATTGGCCCATGGTGTCATCACCATCCTCTGAGTTCTCCCATCTAACTCGCTAGAGCTGCAGACAGTTTTAGGCATATTTACAAGGTTTAAAATCTGAGGGGCATGGCGAGGTATTAAAAGTGATGTTGTCAGCTAGCTAGCTAGCTCTGGTATAACGTTAAGCCGGTTCAGAACTTTATTTTGCTGGTCAGAACAGTGGAACGGAACGAAAAAAACAATTGGAAAATAATTTTGGTTCCAACCCCTGGCTAAAATGCAAGCAAAACCTGACTTGTGTCAAATAATAAAGATAAAGAGCCCACAGGTTTATTTTGCTTTGCATGTGAATGACATAAAGTTACAGTATAGTTTATTGATATTTTGTACTATAATGTGAATTGCTTTTCAGTTACATCACATTGATACTTTCAAACCTCGAATGTTTGCTTGAGGCTTTGCAAATCAAGCAACACTTCTAATTAATTAAATAATATTTTTCGGTCTGCATGTTTCTCAACTTTAACTGAACGTTTCTTCATTTTATTTGGGATTAAATCCAAGGTGTGTTATAGTGCGGGGCACTAAACAACATTGCCCCTTTTAAAGGTAACTTACGCTTGAGCCGACATCCGCAGCATTTACCTTGAGTGCAATCTCTGTGAACGGCGAGGAAATTGTCTTTAACCTCTACGGGATTGGTGTGTCCCGTATACGGGACGGTTGAGCTAACGTGCGCTGATGTGACATGACTGTTGTAAGTAACAGCAAACCTTCCAGGACATAGACATGTCTTATATGGGCAGAAAGTTTACATTCTTGTTAATCTAACTGCACGGTCCAATTTACAGTAGCTATTACAGTGAAAAATTACCATGCTATTGTTTCAGGAGAGTGCACAACAACAAAAAACTTATCATGGCAACTGGTTTGATACATTCACCTCTGAAGGTAAATAATGTACTTACATTCAGTAATCTTGCTCTGATTTGTCTTCCTAAGGGCCCCAGAGATAAAATGTAGCATAGTTTTGTTTGATAAAATCCATTTTTATATTCAAATGTAGTAACTGGGTTCTACAGTTTGAACCCCTGCTGTCTCTGGCTCCACACCCACCCCGCACGGCCATCTAGATGTGTAAAAGTTAGTGTATAAGCTAATGATCCATCAAGTATGACTTTTCCTGGGAGTGTGTAAACTTACATTTTGTATTACCATATCAATTATGTATGTTCTCTATAGTTATGTACTTGAAAATGTATCAATTGACCAATTCTGCACCATTGGGCAGACCTGATACAAAATAGTCCAGAATTGCAACGCTTCACTGGATCAGTCTGAAACTTTGCACCCACACTGCTAAATTGCGCCTAAACTGCAAAATTATATTGTGGCCTTTTTCTTGCATTTCAAAGATGATGAAAATAAAAATGTATAGACAACGCATGTTTTTTTGTTTGTATTATCTTTTACCAGATCTAATGTCTTATATTCTCCTACATTGATTTCACATTTCCACATACTTCAAAGTGTTTCCTTTCAAATGGTATCAAGAATATGCACATCCGTGCTTCAGGTCCTGAGCTACAGGCAGTTAGATTTGGGTATGTCATTTTAGTCGAAAATTGGGGAAAAAAGGGTCCGATCCTTAAGAGGTTAAAAGGCGTATTAGGTGAGACGTCTACTGCACTGATTTATAATGGCCTTGGATTGAGTCCTGGTCTTAAACTGAAAGTTGATCATGTTTCTCAACTTCAATTGAAAGTTTCTTCAACTCACTAAAATCTGAAGGTTCTTCACAGTTGAGAATGTGTCTGAACTCTGCGGAAAGTTGCAGTTTTAAAAGATGATTATCATCATCATGTATGAGAGAAGTGACATCTCTTCATCTAAAATGTGTGACACACACAGGCTTGTTTTACTATCCTTGTGGGGACCAAACAATTGATTCCCATTCAAAATCCTATTTTTCCCCAACCCCTAAATCTAAACCTTAACCCTAACCTTAATCCCAGACCCTAATTCTAACCCTAACCCTAATTCTAACCCTAAACCTAACCCCTAAGACTAAAATAGCCTTTTCATTGTGGGGACTTGCGAAATGTCCCCATTTGTCCGAATTTTCCTTGTTTTACTATCCTTGTGAGGACTTCTGGTCCCCACAAGGATAGTAAAACCACACACACACACACACCTATCTCATGGGTTGTATTTCCTCCTAACATTGTTAGTGCATTTTCAGTAAAACTTCAGGCCTATAATGATCAATGTGTCAAACAATTCTGTTTTCTCCTTCCCAAAGCCAGATCCAACCTTATTCCTAGTCCTCCTACCTTCAACTCCAAGTATGGATACCTCAGCTGGGAGTCCTACTCCAATGTTTCCTATTACACCCGTATCCTACCCCCTGTGCCTGAAGACTGCCCCACCCCTATGGGTGCCAAAGGTGAGATGGAGGGCATCCAACGTTCCTATCAGAAAATAGGATGAAGGGATCCCTCAAAGACTTTACTGGAGATTACTCATTCAAATACATCTTCCCAACCGCAACATGCATAGCTAACATACTTCCTTTCCTCTCTTTTCTCCAGGAAAGTCTGTCCTCCCAGACCCAAAGCTTGTGGTGGAGAAGTTTCTTCTGAGGAGGCAATTCAGGCGGGATCCAAAGGGAACCAACCTGATGTTTGCATTCTTCGCTCAGCACTTCACCCATCAGTTCTTCAAGACCCAAAACAGCATGGGCTTGGGCTTCACCAGGGCTCTGGGGCATGGGGTGAGTCAGTTGGTACTCCCTGTACTGTACAGTGCATTCGAAAAGTATTCAGACCCCTTGACTTTTTCCACATTTTGTTATGTTACAGCCTTATTCTAAAATAAATAAAGAAAGAAATTGTTCTCCTCATCAATCTACACACAATACCTCATAATGACGAAGCCAAAACTGGTTTTTAGACATTTTTGCAAATTTATAAAAAATACAAAACAGAAATATTTTATTTACATAAGTATTCAGACCCTTTCCTATGAGACTCAAAATTGAGCTCAGGTGCATCCTGTTTCCATTGATCATCCTTCAGATGTTTCTACAACTTGATTGGAGTCCACCTGTGGTAAATTCAATTGATTGGACTTGGAAAGGCACACACCTGTCTATATCAATCCCACAGTTGACAGTGCATGTCAGAGCAAAAACCAAGCCATGAGGTTGAAGGAATTGTCTTTAGATCTCCGAGACAGGATTGTGTCGAGGCACAGATCTGGGGAAGGGTACCACATTTTTTTCCGCAGCATTGAAGGTCCCAGTGGACTCCATCATTCTTAAATGGAAGAAGTTTGGAACCACCAAGACTCTTCCTAGAGCTGGCCGCCTGGCCAAACGGACCAATCGGGGGAGAAGGGCCTTGGTCAGGGAGGTGACCAAGAACCCGATGGTCACTCTGACAGAGCTCCAGAGTTCCTCTGTGGAGATGGGAGAACCTTCCAGAAGGACAACCATCTCTGCAGCACTCCACCAATCAGGCCTTTATGGTAGAGTGGCCAGATGGAAGCCACTCCTCAATAAAAGGCATATGACAGCCAGCTTGGAGTTTGCCAAAAGGCACCTAAAGGACTCTCAGACCATGAGAAACAAGATTCTCTGGTCTGATGAAACCAAGATTGAACACTTTGGCGTGAATGCAAAGCGTCACAACTGGAGGAAACCTGGCACTATCCCTGCTGTGAGGCATGGTGGAGGCAGCATCATGCTGTGGGGATGTCTTTCAGCGGCAGGGACTGGGAGACTAGTCAGGATTGAGGCAAAGATGAACGAAGCAAAGTACAGAGAGATCCTTGATGAAAACCTGCTCCAGAGCGCTCAGGACCTCAGACTAGGGTGAAGGTTCACCTTCCAACAGGACAACGACCCTAAGCACATAGCCAAGACAACGCAGGAGTGGCTTCAGGACAAGTCTCTGAATATCCTTGAGTGGCCCAGCCAGACCCTGGACTTGAACCCGATCGAACATCTCTGGAGAGACCTGAAAATAGCTGTGCAACGATGCTCTCCATCCAACCTGACAGAGCTTGAGAGGATCTGCAGAGAAGAATGGGTGAAAATCCCCAAATACAGTTGTGCCAAGCTTGTAGCGTCATACCCAAGAAGACTCGAGGCTGTAATCGCTGCCAAAGGTGCTTCAAGAAAGTATTGGGTAAAGGGTCTGAATACTTATGTAAATGTGACATTGTGTGTTGATTGATGAGAAAAAAACACAATTTAATCAATTTCAGAATAAGGCTTTAACGTAACAAAATGTGGAAAAAGTCAAGGGGTCTGAATACTATTATATTATATTTAGGGGAGGATGACCGGTAGGTGATGTATTTAGGTTTTAGCAGGGGTGAGGAGGTGGACAACTCCAATCCTTAGAGCATAAAAATTAATAAAAAAGAATTAGCAGACGCTCATATCCAGAGCAATTTACAGTAGTGAGCGAATACATTTCCATACTCCCCCCCCCCCCCCCCCCCCCCCCCCCCCCTATACTATTCCAACACCCACAATATAATCTTGTACCTGGCTGGAACAAAATCTTGCACACTCAGAGAGCGAGAGAGATTCATCTCAATCTCTTGCATGCATCATGTTTCACGAATGTAAATCTCTTTTTAATCTCATATTTTATGTTAATCTCTAACCAGGTGGATGCCGGCCATGTCTACGGAGATAATCTGGTGCGTCAACTAAACCTTCGGCTTCTTAAAGATGGAAAGATGAAATACCAGGTATGTAGAGTAATGCATAACTCCACTCCAGCTGTGCGAAGGCATGGACAAGTCTCCACTGGAATGTTATTGTAGACATGGTACCACTCTGTGGTCCACTTTGAGGTACATGTGCTTTTAACCCTTTACACTTTTGTGGTTAAATATCTTTTTTTTAAAGGTGGAACCAACATAAATTGCATTTAAAGAAAAATCTAAAAACGGTTTTGATCTACTATATACAGGTTTAAAATGGCAGATTTGGGCACTGATAAACACCTACATTGGAACACTGTGGCTGTACAGTAACATGCTATACATGACGTTAGAGGTCTGGAACTGCGCTTCACAGCGCTGTATGTGTTTTGACTGAGCCATTCGGAAGTTGAGCACCTCATGCGACAAGAATTTGCCCTCATCCCTCCCGCTAATTGGGCAGCTTTTGCATATTATTTGTTGTCTGAGGGAAGGAAATGCTGTAGATTAAGAGGACTCAATGTATTTTGAAAAATGAGAAGTTGAGGATTATAATAAATACCGCTTTGATGTCATACAAGCAAGTCAAACACCTGTGAGTCGAAATGTGAACTTCACGTTTCCATATCATAAAACTCATGTCATATACAGTGTCAACGTTTATGATCACTATGTTTTATGTACACTTACAAGATGACATGGTGTCATACTCTGGGTTTTTCTGAACAGAATGAGCTTATGTTTGTCTATTGTGAAGAAAATGGATTGCGTAAACAACAGTAATTGTATGATGGCGGAGATGCATGGTTGTGTTCCAAACAAAACAACTACCAAAGTGCTTGCCCTAATTCCTCAACAGCACAGCTAGGAGAGCTAAAAAAAAGCACCTTATAGTTGAAGACTCTTCTTTGAGTCATTAAAGTGAATTTAAATTACTTAGAAACTGTGTACACTTTGGAGAGGTGTGTGTGTGTGTGTGTGTGTGTGTGGCCACTTGGAGACACCAGTTAGTCCTCTCACTCAAACCCTTGTAATGTTTTTGTCTTATTTTGCACCTACCCCACATTTTCCAGGAATATTCTTATCATGTTACTGAATGTATACAGAGTATTTTCAGATTTTGTTATCAACAAATGGAAACATCCGCTTTCTGCCGGAGAGTGTCACATCACTAGCATTAAAGAATACACCTCTCGAGGCAGTGGTGTAAAGTACTTAAGTAGTACTTTAAAGTATTTTTACTAAAGTAGTTTTTTGGGGTATCTGTACTTTACTTTACTTTACTTTTGCTCCAATACATCCCTGAAGAAAATGATGTACTTTTTACTCCATACAAAAGATACATTTAGAATGCTTAGCAGAACAGGAAAATAGTCAAATTCACGCACTTATCAAGAGAATTTCCCTGGTCAAGCCTACTGCCTCTGATCTTAACCTGGTCTCAGAGCATTTTGTATTATTCTGTACGTAAATCCGAGGGACTCCATTTAGTATGATATGTTACATTTCGTATGGTATGTATTAATTTGTGGAAGTCCATCACCCATTTCGTATGTTAGGTTACGAATTACAATTCGTATTATGTTACAAATTTGCAAAACGTATGATATGTTACAAATTCTAGCTAACGTTAGCTAGTCTAGGGTTAAGGTTAGGCTTAAGTTTAAGTTTAGGAGTTAGCTAACCCTTCCCCTAACCCTTTAACCTAACATGCTAAGTAGTTGCAGAGTAGCTAAGTAGTTGAAAAGTTGCTTATTAGCAAAAAAGGCTAAAGTTGTCTGTGATGAGATTCGAACTCGCAACCTTTGGGTTGCTAGACGTTCACGTTGCCTTAAGCAACCATCTGTCTTATGTAACCATACCAAATGTAACAACATACTAATTTTTGTATCCCGGATTTACGTTTACTATGTTACGTCCAGGCTGCTGATCTGGCGGACTCACTAAACACAAATGCTTTGTTTGTAAATGATGTATGAGTGTTAGAGTGTGCCCCTGACTATCCATAAATTAAAATAACAAGAAAATTGTGCCATTTGGTTTGCTTAATATAAGGAATGTGAAATGATTTATACTTTTACTTTTTATACTTAAGTATATTTTTGCAATTACATTTACTTTTGATACTTAAGTATATATAAAACCAAATACTTTACTCAAATAGTATTTTACTTGGTGACTTTCACTTTTACTTTAGTCATTTTCTATTAAGGTATCTTTACTTTGACTCAAGTATGACAATTGGGTACTTCTCCCACCACTGCACAGAGGTAGCAGGTAACAGCATAGCCAATGTTCAGTGACCAGGTGCCAGTTAGTGTATTGTTTGAGTGACCTAAAATCCTGACTCATGTCAGGATAAAGGAGGACACCCATGAGGCCCATTGGCTTTATCTGTTGAATAAACTGAATTCTACACAAAGAAGGACGTTTGGGAATGGTATCGGTTTTTGGGAAAAGGGTGTTGGTTCAGAGTCAGGGAGCGCTTGTGTTGTAAGAACCCTATTGATTGTCTCTTTCTGCAGTGGTATGCATGTGAAACTCAGGATGAGATGGCTGAGCAACTGTTAGTTATATATGGGTGGAGTTCAGGTAATCATTATTTACAGTAGTGTTTCCAAAATGTTGGGGTCATGGCCCATTCTTCCACTGCTCAAGACTGGGCTCTGGCAAGACATATTCATTGATTGGTTTGGCAGGTTGCTGGGGAAATTGAGTCACAGCATAAAGACATTGGTGAACAACTAACTTACTGTCGGCATAAGTTCTGTATAAAGGCCACATAATAAAATTCACATAATCTAACTCAGAGGTTCAGTCCTGACAGTGACTCACTTGAAGCCTTTCAAATGGCTTTTCCACAAAACCCCAAAGGGGACGCCACATAATAGTTTTTTTTATAATGTACACCAATTCGTAAAGCATGCTCACAAGTTACTACATTGTGCTAATGAATCAGTAAGGCTCTTAAGGGCTCCATAGTCTACAATGTAAAAGGGAAAGTAATACTATCTTCTCTTGCAGGTGGTTAAAGGTGAGGTGTACCCTCCTACTGTGGCCGAGGCGCCGGTGAATATGAGCTACCCTCAAAGGACTCCCGTGGGGCAGCGTATGGCCATCGGGCAGGAGGTGTTTGGGCTGTTGCCAGGCCTCACCATGTACGCCACCCTGTGGCTGAGAGAACACAACCGTGTCTGTGACATCCTGAAGGCAGAGCACCCCACCTGGGGGGACGAGCAGCTCTTCCAGACTGCCAGGCTCATCGTAATAGGTAAGTACATACTTGACTGGACAGAGATCTCTCTCTAGCCTTTCATACCACCAGGTACTGCCCATTTTAGACACTCAAGTGCTTTAGGGGGAATATTCATTTCAAGGAAACATTTTCATGTGCTTGGTTGCATGCTACAGGCATAAGCAACATATGCAGTTGCTTAGGGCCCCAGGTCGCTAGGGGGCCCTGTCAGGAACTCAGTCGGGATCTCAACTTACTGTTGAGAGCTAGAATAGTAGGTGCAAGTTCCAAATTTGGTTGTACATAAGCAATTTTTCTCTTGTTATGTCAGTCACTGACAGTCACTCAATTAGCCATGTCAGCTAACAATTGTTTTATACCCGGCTATCTAAACTTGTAGTAATCATGGCCGAATACCGACCGGTCACGCAGGGCAAGTTTCCAGGGGCCCTGACCTTCAGGAGGTCCCCAACCAAATCTCGCTTAGGGCCCCCAAAAGACTAGAGCTGGCCCTGCTTGATTGATTGAATAGTTGGGGGGGAATAAGAATCAACACACTGCTCCAGTAGATTCTCCCCAAAATGGATTTTCTGGGGTGTAGATCCATATTAGGTTTATATTCCAGGTGAGACCATCCGGATAGTGATCGAGGAGTACGTGCAGCACCTGAGTGGCTACCTGTTGGATCTGAAGTTTGACCCGGTCCTGCTCTTCAAGTCCCAGTTCCAGTACAGGAACCGCATCGCTGTGGAGTTCAAACAGCTGTACCACTGGCACCCCCTGATGCCAGACAGCTTCCACATAGACGGAGACGTGGTGCCCTACTCCCAGTTCATTTTCAACACCTCCATCGTCACACACTATGGGGTGGAGAAACTGGTGGACGCTTTCTCACGGCAGTATGCTGGACAGGTATGGGCTGTGTGGTGACACGGGATTTCATATGCAGTGTTGTAATGATGAACACTGGTCTCAAAATTGTTGTCATGCCATACATAAAAAGTCGGGGTTGGGGTCAATGAAAATATGGCACCTATTTTCAAAGATTTCTCAAACTGACAAGGAGAAGCTATTTATTTGAAATCTCTTCCAGAATTATTATTATTTATTTATTTGGTCATTTAGCAGACAATAATAATAATAATAATAATAATAATAATATGCCATTTAGCAGACGCTTTTATCCAAAGCGACTTACAGTCATGCGTGCATACATTTTTGTGTATGGGTGGTCCCGGGGATCGAACCCACTACCTTGGCGTTACAAGCGCCGTGCTCTACCAGCTGAGCTACAGAGGACCACAATCTTATCCAGAGTGACTTACAGTTAGTGCATTTATCTTAAGATGGTTAGGTGGGACAACCACATATCACAGTCATAGTAAGTACATTTTCCTCAATAAAGTAGTTATCAGCAAAGTCCGAGCTAGTAAGGGGGAAAAGAGTCAAGTGCAAGTGTTAGTTAATGAAAGGCTTTTTTTGGGGGGTGAGGAGGGGGTGCGAGGGGGGTTGCTGTGGGATTATTTAAGATTCTCTTTGAAGATGTAGGGTTTCAGATGTTTTCAGAAGATGAGCAGGGACTCTGGTGTCCTAGCTTCAGGGGGAAGGAAGCTGGTTCCACCATTGGGGTGCCAGGACAGAGAAGAACTTGGACTGGGCTGAGCGGGAGCTGCTCTCCCGTAGGGATGGGAGGGTCAAGAGACCAGAGGTGGCAGAACGGAGTGCTCGGGTTGGGGTGTAGGGTTTGAGCAGAGCCTGAATGTAGGGAAGGGCAGTTCCTCTTGCTGCTCCGTAGGCAAGTACCATGGTCTTGTAGTGGATGTGAGCTTCGATTGGAAGCCAGTGGAGTGTGCAGAGGAGCGGGGTGACATGGGAAAATTTGGGAAGGTTGAACATCAGGCGGCGGTAGTGTTCTGGATAAATTGCAGGGGTTTGATGGCACAAGCGGGGAGCCCAGCCAACAGCGAGTTGCAGTAGTCCAGACCGGAGATGACAAGTGCCTGGATTAGGACCTGTGCTGCTTCCTGTGTGAGGTAGGGTCGTACTCTACGGATGTTGTAGAGCATGAACCTGCAGGAGCGAGTCACTGCTTTGATGTTTGCAGCGAACGACAGGGGGTTGTCCAGGGTCATGCCAAGGTTCTTTACACACTGGGAGGGGGACACCGTGGAGTTGTCAACCGTGATGGAGAGGTCTTGGAGCGGGCAGGCCTTCCCCGGGAGGAAGAGCAGCTCCGTCTTGTCGGGGTTGAGCTTGAGGTGGTGGGCCGACATCCAAGCTGAGGTATCTGCCAGGCACGCAAAGATGCGTGTTGCCACCTGTGTGTCAGAAGGGGGAAAGGAGAAAAGTAGTTGAGTTTCATCCGCATAGCAATGATAGGAGAGACCATGTGAGGATATGACGGAGCCGAGTGACTTAGTATATAGAGAAGAGGAGAAGGCCTAGAACATTGCCCTGGGGGACACCAGTAGTGAGAGTACGTGGTGCAGACACAGATCCTCTCCACGTCACCTGGTGAGTGACTTGAATTAAAATGGACCCATTGACCTTATGTTTGTGTTCTGGTACTTCTTCTTTTGAGCAAGGCAGATGTTGTGTAAGAGAGGAGAAATGGAGGGTGAGGTTGGGAGAGGGGAAATGACAAGGCAAGATTGCCTGATGGTAAATTTGACATTACTTTGTGTAAAGTACATAAATGTGAGCTGTAAAATAGCACATGTTGTAACTGTCACCACAGCCCTGCAAACCTGTTAGTTCTCTGCATACGGTATCTGCAGAATCAACTACAGAGCTGTTTTCTGTCGATTAGAGGCTGTGATAGATCATCACAGGAGGCTTTAAGAAGTTGCTATCTGCCTGATATTAATCTTCTTTCTCTGTGGCTTTTTGATATCAGTATTTCTCAGCAGAGCAGCAGCTATCTATGCAGTATTAGAGAGTAGAAACATGATATCTGATACAGAATCTAGTGCTCTTTGCTGTGCTGAGCAGTTCTCTAAGTTATCAGACCTTCCTCTAAACGCTCAGGGTTGATGTTCACACTTGCTTTCCGTACCACTTTCCCACGTCTCACTGGCTTAGTGCATGCACTGTGAAGTCTATTGGGTGTATACTGTACACTGAGTATACAAAACATTAAGAACACCTACTCTTTCCATGACATAGACTGACCAGGTGAATCCAGGTGAAAGCTATGATCCCTTATTGATGTCACTTGTTATATCCACTTCAATCAGTGTAGATGGTTAAATAATGATTTTTAAGCCTTGCGACATAGATTGTGTATGTGTGCCATTCAGAGGGTGAATGGGCAAGACAAAAGATTGAAGTGCCTTTGAACGTGGTATGGTAGTAGGTGCAAGGCGCACCGGTTTGTGTGAAGAACTGCAACGCTGCTGGGGTTTTCACGCTCAACAGTTTCCCATGTGTCAAGAATGGTCCACCTACCAAAGCACATCCTGCCAACTTGACACAACTGTGGAAAGCATTGGAGTCAACATGTGCCAGCATCCCTGTGGAATGCTTTCGACACCTTGTAGAGTCCATGCCCTGACGAATTGAGGCTATTCTGAGGGCAAAGGGGGGGAGGGTGCAACTCATTATTAGGAAGGTGTTCCTAATGTTTGTTATACTCAGTGTATATGGAGTAATACATTTAGGGCCCTTCGTGGGTGGGTCATTCATTATTTTAATTACTTTTTTTAATTTAGTCCTCATGCATCCTATATTTATATAGGGGATGCCTGTTTGATCCGTTCAGATTTAGGGCTCTATTCTGGCTGGTTTTAATCCGGTTTCTCTGTTTCTCAGATAGGAGGCGGTCAAAACATCCACCCAGTGGTGACCAATGTGGCCGAGGGGGTTATTGAAGAGTCCAGGACTCTGCGTCTCCAACCCTTCAACGAGTACAGGAAGAGGTTCAACCTGAAGCCCTATACATCTTTCTCTGATTTCACTGGTAAGACCACATATTTAGAGTTTAGAAATGCCGGCACTACAAAAGGCTTCTATGGAATGGGAATGGGGTACTCTCTAAGCAAGCAGCTGAATGTCTGTTACACCATCACCTTTTCTTTTTTGTAAGACCACATATTTCTATATATGCTCATGGGCCATTACACGGTAACAGAGTGAAGCTGAGACTGATTTTACACTTTTAAAATGTATGCCAAACAAACACCAATGGTTGCAAAGTTGAACAAGCCTTACAACTCAATGTACAAGGACGACTTTTAACAATTTCCACTGAACATTTTATAAAAACACATTTATGTGAGGAACCGTGCAGAAGCAAAGTTTGCTAACAGAATGACTGCACAAACCATCATTCTGTTACCGAACTTTGCATCTGCACTGTTCTTGTGCATATCAAGGCTCAGGATAAGACCCAGATTCAGACAGTTCGAAATAGCAAAATGTTTATTTACAAAAACAGGGGGCAGGCAAATGACAGGTTAATGGCAGGCAGAGGTCAGTAATCCAGAGCAGAGTCCGAAAGGTACAGAAACGGCAGGCAGGCTCAGGGTCAGGGCAGGCAGAATGGTCAAAACCGGGAAAAACTGGAAAACAGGGACTAGAGCAAAACAGGAGTATGGGGAAAAACGCGGGTAAGCTTGACGAGACAAGACGAACTGGCAACAGACAAACAGAAAACACTGGTATAAATACACAGGGGATAATGGGGACAAATGGGAGACACCTGGTGGGGGGTGGAGACAAGCACAAGACAGGTGAAACAGATCAGGGTGTGACAGTGCATTGCGTTGTATGCTTTGTTTAACTTTGCAATCATTGTTTTCTTTGTTTGGCATACATTTTAAAGTGACAAATCTGAGTTTCAGCATCACTCTGTTACCGTGTAATGGCCCTCATGCAAATTGAAAATATCAACATTCTCTCAAAGCAGCTGTCATTCATCATAAAGCATCATCCTGATATGGTTTAGCATCTGTTAAGAAGCCAACTGCAGTCTTTGTGTTGTCCTCTCATCTCAAACCAGTCTTCTCTTTAACGTGATCATGTGTTTCTAATGAACTCTTACTCTTCTCTACTGTATTGTATTTGTATTAATTTACTTGAAATGTATCTGTGTAGTTTGCTGCAACCGAATTGCCCTTCTGGGACAATAAAGAATTATAAATTGTCCCCAGGTGAGGAGGAGATAGCCAGGGAGCTGGAGGAGCTCTATGGTGACATCGATGCGCTGGAGTTCTACCCCGCCCTCATGCTGGAGAAGACACGCCCCAATGCCATATTTGGTGAGAGCATGGTGGAGATGGGGGCTCCGTTCTCCCTGAAAGGCCTTCTGGGTAACCCCATCTGTTCCCCTGAGTACTGGAAGCCCAGCACGTTTGGAGGCCAGACAGGCTTTGATATAGTCAACTCAGCCTCGCTGGACAGGCTGGTGTGTCTGAACAGTAAGTGGTGTCCATACGTAGCCTTCAATGTCCCTCCAGCCGAGCATGAGGAGCCGCCAACGAAACAGTCCACTGAACTGTAAGACACAGTGATTACTGTATCCATGGTTACATTAGGTTTTTGGTATGGTGTTACTGTATTGCCCTTGTCCACCTATGATGCCTGTACTGTATACTATGTTTACTGCCAAAATAAAGGAAACGCTTGAGTAAATGAGGGATACAAAGTATACTGAAAGTAGGTGCTTCCACACAGGTGTGGTTCCGGAGTTAATTAACCCCCTAAGGTCGATGTCCGTGCCCCCGCGGAAATCTAATTAACATAATTTAAAAAATCCCCATGAAATCTGTCAATTGAAGCTACTGATTTTTTTGCATTGGATGCGTCTCAATCCACCACATTCGCCTATGTCGCAGTTCCACATCTGCGGTGAAAGGGTGATTGCGCTAGAGAGGTGTTTGTCAGACCATGAGACATTCCAAAAATTGGTTTTCTCACAATCCTCTGTAGTGTCTAAACGGTTTGACCTACAAACTATTATGACCCCTCTATGCAAAGGTGAGACTTTCACGTTTTGCTTTAGGACGCCCACAGGCTACACAAGACTCGTTTGAAGGTCCCCCAATACCAGTTGAAATAATTAATGGAAGTATATATCGAGATGGTATAGCGCCAAAAAGAAGGTTTTAAATACATGTGAAATATTTTTTACAAATGTTTCCTGATCTTTCTTATCTCTCAGATATAGGACAGACACTTCAGAACAAAGTTCCTTTAGATTTTTTGGGGGGGACAATTTGTTGTTCCATGTAGTGAATCAGTTATTCTATGCTTTTTGTATGGGCTATTAGCAGTAAGGCCAAAAATAATTTTTCATCAAATAATTTTTTTAAATATATTTTTTGGTACTTCAAGGGGTCTTAAATTCAAAATCAAAATGATCCTTGGTATGACCTTCTTAAAACGATTCCATAAAGCTTAGTAGAACAAGGGCCAACTCATAAAATAATTATAGACAATGGAATAGTCTCTTTTTTGTAACCTTTATTTAAGCAGGAAGAAACCCATTGAGACACAGGGTATATTTTGCAAGGGAGACCTGGCCAAGAAAGCAGCAGTAGTCAATACAACATTACACAATTTACAATACAAACAGCACAATGTCATGAAGAGCTCATCCAGCCTACAGAAAACATTTACACTCCTCAACAGAGTTTTGGGCCAGAGTTTTAAACTCACTAAGGGGCACTAGTACATCTAGGTGAAGGATATTTTGCAGACTGTTCCATGCAGTTGTAGTCGGTTACGTTTAAGATGAGGGAGGACGATCATTATTTTTATTACAGCATATTGGATGACTGTTATTCATATTCCATTCACCCAGCTCAATGTAACATCGATAGGTTTAGGCTACTACATGATACTCGAATTTCCCTATACCCATCATGAGGTTGCTAAAACCTAGCCTATGAATAAAAGTTTACAACGTAGGTGCACAGTTTGAGAGACAAATGTGCGTAATCAAGGTGACACAGTGACACATTCAATACCGCCTCGCACACTCTTGCCTGCATCTAGCTGATATAGGGTGTAATCATTAGTGCAACAGTTGCAAACAAGAGTTTCTATTGGAGAAATTCAGGTATGTTTATCCCTGTTTCATTCCGTTTGCTTCCGTTTAAGAAACGTTTTTCAAAAGAATCGGCGGAATGAATATTCCCCTAATCACACGCAAACATAGTTCACTTTCATAGCAGCCATAAACAAACAGCATGATAATTTTGTTTGTTGTATAATTCCTTCTACACGCTCTCCTCTCACCTTTTTCCCTTTGCTTGTGGACTTGAGTGTACAACACATCAGCTGTCTGTGACCAAGCAAAAAAACTTTTCCAAGCCAAACCTTCGTATCATAACCGCTAACCGCTAAACATAGCCTACATCGTTGTCACTATATTAGCTAATATCATAGTTAACATAGCTACTAGAACTAACGCGTTAGTTAACCCGCTACAATCATGCAGTACAGTGTACAATAAGAAAGCAGGTTAGCAGTTACACCAACGAGCCCCAGTGGCAATATATTAATAAAACTAAAAGCTTTCCTTGGCTTGGAAGAGCTCCAGTGTTGGATAGCCATAGCCAGCTAGCTTAAACTAGCATCCCTCACTGTTTGAGTAGGATAAACTAGCTAGCCGCTTTCTCTAGCTAAGTGAACGTGAAAAAAATACAATGAAATATCTCTCTTCTACATTTTTAAAGAAATTAATTTGTTAAACTGTTCAACTATTCTTTCTCTCTTTGAGTCAACTACTCACCACATTTTATGCACTGCAGTGCTATCTAGCCGTAGCTTATGCTTTCAGTACTAGATTGTCAGTTCATGCTGCAAGATCTCTGATAGGTTGGAGGTAGTCCTCCGGAAGTTGTCATTACTGTGTAAGTCTATGGAAGGGGGTGAGAACTATGAGCCTCCTAGGTTTTGGATTGAAGTCAACTAAACTAGCTGTCCTCCGGCTACACCATGGTGCTACCCTACAGAGTGCTGTTGAGGCTACTTTAAACCTTCATTGCAAAACAGTGTGTTTTAATCAATTATTTGGTGACGTGAATATCTAAAAAGGAAAACTTTTGTTTCAATATTTAAATTTTTATGAAATTCACTGAGGAGGATGGTCCTACCCTTCCTCCTCTGAGGAGCCTCCACGGGTTCCATGCCTCTGGTGCACAATAGGAAAAGGCAGTCTTGCCTAGCTCCCCTGTGTATTACATTTATTATCCAGAGCGACTTACAAATTGGGATTATTAGAAAGTGGGATCCATCCGTAACCATCCACTCTGTAATAAGGTTTAGTTGACATTGATTTAGGTCTACATTACAGTACATCTATATTGATCTAGCTATGATAATTGATTTAACAGTATTTTTGTAGAAGCTACCAAACAAAAACCACATTGTGGAAATTGTATAATACAAATTCTCACAAAGAAATACAGCAGTATTATTTTCCCTTTCTCTTTTTGGCCATTGAGTAAATAAAAAAGTACTGTATCAAATAGATTTTAATTTTTTTATCACAGTATGTGAATGTTAGATCTGTGTCAAATAACTTAATATTTTTAGTTGCCATTTCATCACCCAGACAAAGGTAACAAGATCACTGAATGACTTTTTTTATACACTGATATAAATATGTAAGAAACTTTTTTTTTACAATAACTTTTGTTGACAACAATTGATACATGTTATTGAAACATGAGAAATACTGGAAAAACTGAGAATTCAAAATTGTAACACAGCAATGTCTGAGTGATGAATTCTTGGCAGTAGCAAAGGAAAAGGAAATTCATGAAATTTAGACATTTCACTGATCATAAAGTGAACTGATCCAGATAATGAAAACACAATCAGTCATGTCAATTTCAGGTCAGCTGGGTCTCAATTGGGACTTACAGTAAATTAAGCCCTGTCGTCATAACATCTTCCTTTGGTTTCAGCACAGAAGTAATGGTTGGTTTATGGCGCAACAGAGTGTCACGTTACCGATGTGGATGTGGTGGAGGAGTCAGGCGCAGGACACTGAGGTAAAGTCCAACAGTATATTTAATAGTCCAAAGAAACTGGAAAACCTCTGACCTCAAAAACACAAAGAGGCGAGGGAGAATTACGCACACGCGTAAACACAAAACAAACAGGGAGCAAAGACGTAGCTCCGACACTGTGGCAGTAAAAATAACAACACACAATAATACTAACACAAAACAAGGAACTTATAGGGCACGCAATCAACACACAAATGGCCACAGGTGATACAGACAGACAAAAGCAATCGACTGACGAAACAGAGCGGTGGCAGCTAGTACTCCGGGGACGGCGCTCGCCGAAGCCTGCCCGAACCAGGAGGAGGAGCAGTCTCGGCCGAAACCGTGACACAGAGGGAGTGTGGGATACCTGAATAGCAAGTGTAAAGTAACAAAGATTGCAATATTTTGTGCAAAGCTGTTTTCCCCTTGGCTTTTTCATTGTACAATATGCGACTGATAAAAATGTATTTGACACAAACAAGTTTATAAAGTATACAGTGGGGAAAAAAAGTATTTAGTCAGCCACCAATTGTGCAAGTTCTCCCACTTAAAAAGATGAGAGAGGCCTGTAATTTTCATCATAGGTACACGTCAACTATGACAGACAAATTGAGGAAAAAAAATCAAGAAAATCACATTGTAGGATTTTTTATGAATTTATTTGCAAATTATGGTGGAAAATAAGTATTTGGTCACCCACAAACAAGCAAGATTTCTGGCTCTCACAGACCTGTAACTTCTTCTTTAAGAGGCTCCTCTGTCTTCCACTCGTTACCTGTATTAATGGCAGTTGTTTGAACTTGTTATCAGTATAAAAGACACCTGTCCACAACCTCAAACAGTCACACTCCAAACTCCACTATGGCCAAGACCAAAGAGCTGTCAAAGGACACCAGAAACAAAATTGTAGACCTGCACCAGGCTGGGAAGACTGAATCTGCAATAGGTAAGCAGCTTGGTTTGAAGAAATCAACTGTGGGAGCAATTATTAGGAAATGGAAGACATACAAGACCACTGATAATCTCCCTCGATCTGGGGCTCCACGCAAGATCTCACCCCGTGGGGTCAAAATGATCACAAGAACGGTGAGCAAAAATCCCAGAACCACACGGGGGGACCTAGTGAATGACCTGCAGAGAGCTGGGACCAAAGAAACAAAGCCTACCATCAGTAACACACTACGCCGCCAGGGACTCAATTCCTGCACTGCCAGACGTGTCCCCCTGCTTAAGCCAGTACATGTCCAGGCCCGTCTGAAGTTTGCTAGAGTGCATTTGGATGATCCAGAAGAGGATTGGGAGAATGTCATATGGTCAGATGAAACCAAAATAGAACTTTTTGGTAAAAACTCAACTCGTCGTGTTTGGAGGACAAAGAATGCTGAGTTGCATCCAAAGAACACCATACCTACTGTGAAGCATGGGGGTGGAAACATCATGCTTTGGGGCTGTTTTTCTGCAAAGGGACCAGGACGACTGATCCGTGTAAAGGAAAGAATGAATGGGGCCATGTATCGTGAGATTTTGAGTGAAAACCTCCTTCCATCAGCAAGGGCATTGAAGATGAAACGTGGCTGGGTCTTTCAGCATGACAATGATCCCAAACACACCGCCCGGGCAACGAAGGAGTGGCTTCGTAAGAAGCATTTCAAGGTCCTGGAGTGGCCTAGCCAGTCTCCAGATCTCAACCCCATAGAAAATCTTTGGAGGGAGTTGAAAGTCCGTGTTGCCCAGCGACAGCCCCAAAACATCACTGCTCTAGAGGAGATCTGCATGGAGGAATGGGCCAAAATACCAGCAACAGTGTGTGAAAACCTTGTGAAGACTTACAGAAAACGTTTGACCTGTGTCATTGCCAACAAAGGGTATATAACAATGTATTGAGAAACTTTTGTTATTGACCAAATACTTATTTTCCACCCACCATAATTTGCTAATAAATTCATTAAAAATCCTACAATGTGATTTTCTGGATTTTTTTTTCTCATTTTGTCTGTCATAGTTGACGTGTACCTATGATGAAAATTACAGGCCTCTCTCATCTTTTTAAGTGGGAGAACTTGCACAATTGGTGGCTGACTAAATACTTTTTTTCCCCACTGTATATAAATATAATGGACGTGTATAGGGCAGTATATAGGGCTATATATATTATATATATATATTCAGTCAAGTCAGAGAAACATTGGCATGTAAAAGAAGATTATGAAAGCAGTTATACATATTCTAGTTTTTGCTTCCTATAAATTCATTATTTTAGGCCTAAAGCTTCATTATGTAACTGACATTTGTAATACACAATGAAGCCATAATAATATACATTGTTTTTCCTATTCAAAGACTTAAAGGGTAAGAAAAAGGAAAACTGATAATCTCATGACTTTTCTTTGCGAAGGACAGAAACAGAATACATTGACATTATGAAGTTGACACATTTGTAGCTGACTGTGGTACAGTATGTGTAGAGCATTTAGGTGTTATTATAGGCATCAGAGTAAAGGCTGTTGTCCTATAGTCTTCAGTGGATGCTTCCAACACAAACACATTCTCCACACCAGCATCGGAACAAGGCAGAGGAAGCAGGCTGATAAACACAGAGACACGTGAAGATGACCAACAATCCAGCTGAACTGTCCAAAGTGGAGACTAATGTCAACATCTGTGTTGGAACAAATTCTCCATCCAGCATTTCCTCTATCTAGTTACTTACTCTGGCACATGCTGGGAGCCGATTGGTCATGCTCCTGACTGTGGGTCAACCCGGAGCTGAGCTGGGGCCCTGGAGTAGCAGCAGTGGCGGTAGCATTAATCTGTGTGGTGGCTGTCACGGTCGCCATGGCAGTGGTGGCTGACGCAAGGGCTGCTGGGTAGAAGTGAACATCAACGGCGACTGTGGTGAGGCCTAGGGAGACGCAGTGGGAGAGGAGGAGGGAGGCGTTACCTTGGGAGATGCTGGGCTCAGCGGTCTGGAGTGTCGGGGAGGAGCGCAGGCTTTCCTCACGCACAGGGGGAGGGGGAGCGGAAAGGTGAAGGAGAGAGAGAGGGGGGCTCGGGGAGAATGTCCTGGCCCTGGCATTGTCCATATTCTACTCCTCCGTCCCCCCAGTCCTCCACACACTGGAGCTGGATGCTGGGGTGAGACAGGCTGCAGTCCTCTTCATCCAGGAAGGGGTCAACCTGAGGTGGAGAGGATCCAGACAGCTGCTACTCCCGAATTTGTATTATCTTGGCATGGCAATGTGTGGGAAATGTTGGACTTGATTTTACATACACACATGCGCATACACATGCATACACGTACACACACACACACACACACACACACACTGACCTGTGTGTCTTCGTTGGGCTCAGGGTAGGTCTCTGCTATGACTGAGTGATCTGGAGTGGGCCGGGGCTGTGTCTCCTGAGTCTCATCAGAGGCAGGGTCTATCGTCACAGTGATTGGGCTGGGGGCAGGAGGCCTGGCGCGTGTATCTGACGTGTTGGGGCTTTGTTCAATCACAGCCACCAAATCATCATCCTCAAACGCCCTTTCAGAACAGAGGATACATATACTGTACATTAGCCATTAGGGGAAGTATAGTCCTATTTTCATAGAGATATCCTTTACAACAACAACAACAACAACAACAACAACAATAATAGTGCTAACAACAATCACCTGTTCTCATAAGTCCTCCTAGTGGCCAGGCGTTCAGCATGTCTGCAGGGGACACCCAGGTTCCTGGGAACTGTGGAAGACAAGGCTAATGGGATTCAATAGTAATATACTGAACAAAAATATAAACGCAACATGCTACAATTTCAATGACTTTACTGAGTTACAGTTCATATAAGGAATCAGTCAATTGATAAATGCATTACGCCCTAATCTATGGATTTCGCATGACTGGGCAGGGGCGCAGCCATGGGTGGGCCTGGGAGGGCATAGGCCCACCCACTTGGGAGCCAGGCTCACCCACTGGGGAGCCAGGCCCAGCCAATCAGAATGAGGTTTTCACCACAAAAGGGCTTTATTACAGACATAAATACTCCTCAGTTTCATCAGCTGTCCAGGTGGCTGGTCTCAGACAATCCCGCAGGTGAATAAGCTGGATGTGGAAGTCCTGGGTTGGATTTGCGGTTGTGAGGCCGGTTGGGCGTACTGCCAAATTCTCTAAAAACGAAGTTGGAGGCGGCTTATGGTAGAGAAATGAACATTCAATTATCTGGCAACAGCTCTAGTAGACATTCCTGCAGTCAGCATGCCAATTGCATACCCCCTCAAAACTGTGGCATTGTGTTGGGTGAAAAAACTGCACATTTTAGAGTGGTCTTTTATTGTCCCCAGCACAAGGTGCACCTGTGTAAAGATCATGCTGTTTAATCAGCTTCTTGATATGCCACACCTGTCAGGTGGATGCATTATCTTGGAAAAGGAGAAAGGCTCACTAACATGGATGTAAACGAATTTGTGCACAAAATTTAAGATAAATAAGCTTTTTGTGCGTATGGAAAATGTCAGAGATCTTTAATGATTGTAGGGGTGCCAACATTAATAGGCGGTGTCCTGGTTTTTTACGAGTGTCCTTCCCCTGAGTAATTTGAACCATGAAAACAGTATGCTAAAACTTAGGCAAAAGAGATGAGATCCGGTAGAGATTGAGCTGGCCAGCCCCACTGACCTCTGATAGCGGTGGCAGGCTCGTTCTTCTGGACCAGGGAGTAGAAGGCCATGGTGATGAAGATGAAGGCCAGAGACACGCCCACTCCCACCACGATGGGGATGTCATGTTTCTCCAGCACTGGGAGCCATGGAGATGGAAGCTTTACTCTGGGGGAGAGAGGGAATGAGAGAGAGATTGTTCCATTGTTCTCATTCTTAATGGTGATCATTATTATGTCCAAATGCAGCATCTAGTTGAAGTAGCTCCAAATACAATATGTAAAAGACAGACTTTGGATATTAGGAGGTTCAGTTGTGATGAACATTTCCCTTGCAACATTATCCAATCAAAAGATTTAGGAGTAAAACAAACATATGGCGTCGTCGTGTAAAAATGTAGGTCATTACAGCCAACAGAATAATACGCCCACATGTATGTCGCAACTGTGCAACTATATAAGCAAGATCAAGGGCTCTATTCAATCTGTAATGTTGAAGCGTTACAGATTCCACAACAGAAATGTAAAGGTAATTTCCGATTGAGCCGACATATGCAACATTTACCGTGAATGCAGTCTCCGCTAAAGCAGGAACATTGTCTTAAAATTTCAATCATGCTGTAAAGCTGAACTTCCGTGATGCAAATTGAATAGAGCCCCAAGTGTGATAGCAGCTGTGGTGGAGTTGCAGTTTTATATGGAGTCTTGTCAGCAGTTTAAGCCTGTGAGCCCTATATAGAAAGTAATAGATTATCTCTTAGGTCCTGATACAACCCCTCAGATTCACAGAAAGCCACATACCGGTATTCAGGTCTTGAAAGTTCTTCCATTGATTAAGCCTTACTGTTGCATTCCCCCTATCCCCCATTGTCCACATAGCACACAATCACTCAAAATATTTAGTATTATATTTTGCTTTGCAAAGAATGCATGCACACTGTAAGCAGATACAGAGGAAACTATCTATGCTGTAAGCAGACAGGACTGGGAGGATTTCAAAATATGTCAGCTCTGTCTCCCGCCTCCTGCCCCTGTACCGCATGGTGCTCTACCTGGGGTCCTGACTGGTCCTCATGGGGGACTGAGAGGTGTTCCTCTTCAGCCACTCTGTGGGCTCTGTGTCATTGGGCCTGGTTGGTTTGGCTTGATGAGCTGGCTTAGCAGGCTGACTCATGTTCTGCTGCAGGAGGTCAGGGGTGGAGGTCCGGGGGGCACTAGGGCCCTTGGGGTCAGGGGTGCGGGGTATGGTGCTCAGGTCAGGAGGATGTGTGTTTGAGACTGAAGGCTGGGTCAGGAGATGTGTAGGCTGGGTTTGTTGAGGTTTAGGCTGGGTGTTGGGGGGTTGAGGCTGGGTTTGTGTCGGTTCAGGTTGAGCTTGTGTAGGTTCAGGCTGGGTTTGTGTAGATTCAGGCTGGGTTTGTGTAGGTTCAGGCTGGGTTTGTGATGGTTGAGGCTGAGTTGTGGGTGGTTCAGGCTGGGTTTGTGTAGGTTTAGGCTGGGTTTGTGTAGGTTCAGGCTGGGTTTGTGTAGGTTCAGGCTGGGTTTGTGTAGGTTCAGGCTGGGTTTGTGTAGGTTCAGGCTGAGTTGTGGGTGGTTCAGGCTGGGTTTGTGTAGGTTCAGGCTGAGCTTGTGTAGGTTCATACTGGGTTTGTGTAGGTTCCGGCTGGGTTTGTCTGACTAAAAACAGGGTGATGGGGCTAGGATGCTGTATATGTGGGTATGAAGGATTACTTTGCGTTACGGGACGGTGGGTTTGAGTGATTGAATCAGGAGGATGCAGGGTTTGCATGAGTTGAGACTGAGTCACAGATTCTCTCGGCTGGGTAAGAGAATCAGGACGTTGGGTAGAGTGGTCTGAAAGGTGGGTGGGAGAGTCTGGATAAGGCTGCGAGAGTGAGACCAGAGACTGGGTAAGACTGGCGATGGGCTTTAGGGGCTTAATTGGTTGGTCAGTGACTTGATGCTGGATATGCATGACTGATGGCTGGTTGTGGATGTTTTGGGATACGGACTGTGTTAATTGAGATTGGCTATGTGGGACTAAAACCTGGCGTTGTGGATTGTGTGCTAATGTTGGCTGGGTATGTATTATTGGAAGCTGGGTGAGTGAGAGTGAGAGGACTCTATGAGTTACTGAAGGCTGGGTGAGTAGGTCTAAGGGTTGATATAGAGGTGGGGGTTGTAGTACTGGAGGCTGGATCTGTGTGATTGTGGGCTGGGTTGGTTTGGCCGAGGCCTGATCCAATGGGAGCTGAGAGTGAAGGTCAGGTGGTACCATCAATCCTGTCTGTCCTCTGTTGAGACCTGTTAGTCTTAAAGCTGTCTGCCTGAGAGACGAGAGCAGTCGTAAAGTGTCAGGAGTAGACACTTGGGTGATGTCGTTGCGCGAGTCTCTTAGAGATGCTTGGACTGAAACTAGAAAATAATGAAAATAATGGTATCAAACAAAACAATGCATGCTAGTCGAAAAACAAGAATACCACTGCTTTCTGTGGGTTTCTAGGCACAATAGTTAGTTTTTTATTTCAATCACTTTGGCATATTTTTCAGTGGTAAATTCTCTAAGTACAAAACTCTAAACTGATAACACTTGTAATGTCCCAAAACTTAACTGAACCATTCAGAATTAATGCCTAAACAATGTGGGGTGCAGCTGCAGCAGGAGGAGAAACCAATGGTGTCCAAAACACCTCGAAATTTGATGCTTGGAGCAACTTCGAAATTAGACATTTAGAGAAACGTGGACAAACGTCGGAAAATGAAGTTAAATTAGTACAACCGTGAGATCTTGTTGATCAGAAATAGGGGTAATGTAAAGCAGTTAGCTACTGTAAAATATATAGCACAGTGTTGTATGCAATTTCTGCACTATGTAACATTGTACAAGACCACCTTTTCTTCATGACTTGTCGGTCTCTCTGCTTGAAATTCATCAGCTTACAATGTATCAATGAAATTCAGATAATGAGGGAAATATATTGTTTTTTAAACCGCGTGGTTCAATCCCTGAATGCAGATTGTCTGAAAGCCGTGGTGTATTAGGGCAAATACTGTACCACAGGTATGACAATTATTTTGTTGGTAACCAGTTTATAATAGCAATAAGGCACCTCAGGGTTTGTGGTATGTGGCCAATATACGATGGCTAAGGGCTGTATCCAGGCAATCTGGTTGCGTCGTGCCTAAGAACAGCTCTTAGCCGTGGTATATTGGCTATATTACTTAAGTATACGACCCAGGTATTTCAGCAGTACATTGTACACTACACTATAATTCCAAGTGGTAGCACATAGTGACAATTTCCACTTTAGAGCCTGGATGATGGAGAATGATGATGTAGTATTTACAGCCACATCCATATATGATTTGGTTTTGCCTTCCAACATAAATTGATGTAAAATTGTTACATTTATGAGGTAAAAAAATATAAATGTACGGCTGAATGAGTTCTGCTCTGTATCAGAGAATTCTACAGGAGACGTCTGTGAACTGCAGCTGGGTCATGCAGCAAGACAATGATGCAAAACACACAAGCAAGTCTATATCAGAATGGCTGAAAAGCAACACATTTCAAGTTTTGGAATGGCATAGTCAAAGTCCACACCTAAACCCGATTGTGGCAGGACCTGAAACAAGCAGTTTATTCTCGCAAACCCACAAATGTCACTGAGTTAAAGCAGTTGTGCATGGAAAAGTGGGCCAAAATTCCTCCACAGCGATGTGAGAGACTGATCAACAACTATAGGAAGTGTTAGGTTGCAGTCATTGCAGCTAAAGGTGGCACAACCAGTTATCGAGTGTAAGGGGGCAATTACTTTTTCACACAGGGGCATTGGGTGTTGCATAACTTTGTTTATTCAATAAATGAAATAAGTATCACATATGTGTTATTTGTTCACTCAGGTTCCCTTTATCTAATATTAGGTTCTGATAGCATTCAGTGTAAAGAATATGCAAAAAAATTGAAAATCAGCAAGGGGGCACATTCTTTTTCACAGCACTATACGTTAACTAGGCACTACATAATTTTGGCTCAGTAGTTATCCGTTTCGAGGAGTTTGATGAAGTGATAGTTCATTGTATTGTTAACAAATTACAAGAAAATCAAATCAAAAGTAATGTGAATAAAGCATTTTGAAAAGCAGATACTTCGATTGAATATGTATACACATTGAAATAGTTATTTGGTGTAGTGAAAAATTAACTTTGTGAATTTGTTTGTTGTACTCAGTCAATTTAAAATGTGCTTAGAGTTTTGAAACACAAGCCATTTTGATGATCTGTTTAGATTTTTGTGCTTAGAGTTGTGACGATGTACCACATAATTGTGAAAATCGCACCAAAGCCCACATGAAAAACTACTATACTGTATGCTATGGTAGGAATACTATAGTATTCACTGTAGTGTTTTATGGACTTACTGTAATATTTACCGTTTACTATAGTATAAATACTATAGTAAAAAAAATAGTAGTATATACTATAGTAATTACTGTAGTGTTTTTGCGGACTGTAGTATATTGTAGTACTTACTGTAATGTTTTTGAGGACTGTAGTATACTGTAGTATTTACTGTAGTGTTTTTGCGGACTGTAGTATGGTATACTGTAGTATTTGCTGTAGTGTTTTTGCAGACTGTAGTATACTGTAGTATTTACTTTAGTGTTTTTGGGGACATTACTGTTTTATTATCTTTGACATAAAAGTGTGTGGGGGGGGGGGGGGGGGGGGTTCTCTTTGAGGAAACCTACTGGAGAAATACTAAAGAAGCAAATGTTCCATAACCTGTGAGTAAGTAGGAATGGGTTCTGAATGGAGAGTTCAGAGCTTCTGCTCTTTTCTATAACCTGTAGGGAACACAATATCTGGTCTATACTTGGCATGTAGGTTTCTCACTTACGGGTGGCACAAATTGGGATATGGGAGATGGGAATGTGCAGGGTATATGCAAATTAAATACTGTAGTATTTACTATAGTAAAAAAAAAGTGATTTTGTGGAATTTAGTGTTTTTGCAGACATTTCTGTAGTATTTATTACAGTGTTAAAAAAATAATAATACTGTAGTATTTACTATAGTATTCTACAGGAAACTCCAAAATTCTATACTAAGTACTACACATGATCGAGGGCTACTACAGTGTGTAGTATAGTATACTACAGTTTACTACAAAATTCTATAGTAAGTATTGTTGTATTCTATAGTAAACTGTAGTCTTTTTTATGTGTGAGTGATTGGAAAAAAACTAAGTTGACTGTATAAAGTTTGCTTTCAAAGAGTGTTCTAAATCTAAAGCATGCATATTACATAACACATCACATTACAATATTGTCACAGCCTTGTAAATACTGCAAAAGGTTGTTAGTACAAGGATTTGCATGCACTGCATACTATGATTTAAGTTTTTGGCTGTACACACCTGTACTTCCTGCCTGTAATTGGATCATCTCAGAACGCTGAACTAGACTCAGGTCACTGGACAGGGGTGTTGTCTGCTCTGCTTCAATGTTTGGAACCTGCAATTTGTGAAAATATGTTTGTCAAATTCATGAAATATGGCATTGTCAGAAATGCATACCAACTGAACCACTGAAAGCCGTTAGAAATAAACACAGAACTGGAGAGAGCAACAAAGATGTGACTCATGATGTTAAACATTGGTAAACAATTCAGCAGACAAGCGATAGAGACTTTCACATCAACCTCATTATTACTCACTGCAGACACAATCTGTCTATGCTGCTTGTCTCTATCAGCTGGGTCATCTTCAGCTTAAGATAGAGAAGACAATGATGAGCATAGAAAGTTTGACTGTGTGTGTGTGTGTGTGTGTGTGTGAGAGAGAGAGCACCACATCAGACAATCATTATCATCACCTCAATACATTAATTCAGGTAATAAGCACCTTAATCACACGCCTGAGCTTCACTTCCAGGTAATGTTGATGAAGTTAACTTCGTTGTCCATACCTGGGATATAGGCCAATATTTTCAGCATCATCAAACTTCGCCCAAGTTTTTTGGACTTCATCAATTATACTGAACAAAAATATAAACTCAACATGCAACAATTTTGTTGATTTTACAGAGTTACAGTTCATATGAGGAAATCAGTCAATTGAAATAGGCCCTAATAAAATAAGTAGGCCCTAATCAATGGATATCACATGACTGGGAATACAGATATGTAAGGGTTGGTGTGAGGTGTGACCCAGGTGCGGTGCAGGATAGACTGTAGGCAGAGATGGTGAAACAAGGATCTTTACTGGTGGTCCCGAAACCAGGATACAAAATAACGGACTTGTCACGATAAAATAAAGGAGGAGCAAATTGGTCTCCAAAAACAGTCTGACAGCAAAAATACGAAATACTAACTACGACTGAAAACAACAATGAAACAGGGAGAACAGTTCTCAAGCACCTACAGTGGGGAGAACAAGTACTTGATACACTGCCGATTTTGCAGGTTTTCCTACTTACAAAGCATGTAGAGGTCTGTCATTTTTATCATAGGTACACTTCAACTGTGAGAGACGGAATCTAAAACAAAAGTCCAGAAAATCACATTGTATGATTTTTAAGTAGTTAATTTGCATTTTATTGCATGACATAAGTATTTGATCACCTACCAACCAGTAAGATTTCCGGCTCTCACAGACCTGTTAGTTTTTCTTTAAGAAGCCCTCCTGTTCTCCACTCATTACCTGTATTAACTGCACCTGTTTGAACTCGTTACCTGTATAAAAGACACCTGTCCACACACTCAATCAAACAGACAGACTCCAACCTCTCCACAATGGCCAAGACCAGAGAGCTGTGTAAGGACATCAGGGATAAAATTGTAGACCTGCACAAGGCTGGGATGGGCTACAGGACAATAGGCAAGCAGCTTGGTGAGAAGGCAACAACTGTTGGCGCAATTATTAGAAAATGGAAGAAGCTCAAGATGACAGTCAATCACCCTCGGTCTGGGGCTCCATGCAAGATCTCACCTCGTGGGGCATCAATGATCATGAGGAAGGTGAGGGATCAGCCCAGAACTACACGGCAGGACCTGGTCAATGACCTGAAGAGAGCTGGGACCACAGTCTCAAAGAAAACCATTAGTAACACACTATGCCATCATGGATTAAAATCCTGCAGCGCACGCAAGGTCCCCCTGCTCAAGCCAGCGCATGTCCAGGCCCGTCTGAAGTTTGCCAATGACCATCTGGATGATCCAGAGGAGGAATGGGAGAAGGTCATGTGGTCTGATGAGACAAAAATAGAGCTTTTTGGTCTAAACTCCACTCGCCGTGTTTGGAGGAAGAAGAAGGATGAGTACAACCCCAAGAACACCATCCCAACCGTGAAGCATGGAGGTGGAAACATCATTCTTTGGGGATGCTTTTCTGCAAAGGGGACAGGATGACTGCACCGTATTGAGGGGAGGATGGATGGGGCCATGTATCGCGAGATCTTGGCCAACAACCTCCTTCCCTCAGTAAGAGCATTGAAGATGGGTCGTGGCTGGGTCTTCCAGCATGACAACGACCCGAAACACACAGCCAGGGCAACTAAGGAGTGGCTCCGTAAGAAGCATCTCAAAGTCCTGGAGTGGCCTAGTCAGTTTCCAGACCTGAACCCAATAGAAAATCTTTGGACGGAGCTGAAAGTCCGTATTGCCCAGCGACAGCCCCGAAACCTGAAGGATCTGGAGAAGGTCTGTATGGAGGAGTGGGCCAAAATCCCTGCTGCAGTGTGTGCAAACCTGGTCAAGACCTACAAGAAACGTATGATCTCTGTAATTGCAAACAAAGGTTTCTGTACCAAATATTAAGTTCTGCTTTTCTGATGTATCAAATACTTATGTCATGCAATAAAATGCATATTAATTACTTTAAAATCATACAATGTGATTTTCAGGATTTTTGTTTTAGATTCCGTCTCTCACAGTTGAAGTGTACCTATGATAAAAAATTACAGACCTCTACATGCTTTGTAAGTAGGAAAACCTGCAAAATCGGCAGTGTATGAAATACTTGTTCTCCCCACTGTACGTCTCACGATCAGACACTGATTCGTACTGCTTGGCATTGAGAAACTAGCAGAGAAAACTGAGCAAGGGAACACAGGGAAGTGAGGGCATAAATACACAGGTGAACAGGTAGACACAGGTGACACCAATAGGATCATGATTAGTCCAGACTTTGAGTGAGGAGGTGCCTAATGTTGTTGGAGGAGTACACCTAGTGGATCGCTCCGGAACTGCGACCCCGTCCTGTAACACAGATATGCTGTTGGTCACAGATACAGTACCTTAAAAAAAATGGGCCTCACAATGGGCCTCAGGATGTCGTTACGGTATTTTTGTGCATTCAAATTGCCATCGATAAAATGCAATTGTGTTCGTTGCCCGTAGCTTATGCCTGCCTATACTATAAATGGGGCCACCATGGGGCACTCTGTTAACTTCTCTAAAACGACATTGGAGGTGGCGTATGGTAGAGAAATTAACATTAAATTATCTGGTGACAGCTCTGGTGGACATTCCTGCAGTCAGCATGCCAATTGCATGCTCCCTCAAAACTTGAGACATCTGTGGCATTGTTGTGTGACAAAACTGCTCATTTTAGATAGGCCTTTTATTGTCCCCAGCACAAGGTGCACCTGTGTAATGATCAAGCTGTTTAATCAGATTCTTGATATGCCACACCTGTCAGGTGGATGGATTATCTTTGGAAAGGAGAAATGCTCACCAACAGGGATGTAAACAAATGTGTGCACAACATTTGAGAGAAATAAGCTTTTTGTGCGTATAGAACATTTCTGGGATCTTTTATTTCAGCTCATATAACATGGGATCAACACTTTACATGTTGCGTTTATATCTTTGTTCAGTGTACATATGGTAATGAATTTAGTCACTTCCTGTGAGAGTTGGGATACACACCTGTTTGTCCACCACTATTCTTTGCCACCCTGATGAAGGCTGTTGTAGCCGAAACACGTCAGTGTTTTTAAAATTAAAACAATAAAGACTTTTACATTTTTCCACTACATTAGAGTTTCTTGATTACTTCTGGAAGTTTGTTTTGCACAAAGGCTTTTCAGGCATTGTTCACTATCCAGCATCAAATTATTTTTGTTCTATAGTATTTCATTCCATTATCAAAGAGCACCTTGTGGATTAACTATAAACCAAAGAAGCACTCCTCTCCTTTGTCTCTACATTAGTCAGCTCTATTTGGCATCCAGACATGCATGATACACGCAGTACTATAGTCTAACATCAAACCGAATGTGTGTGCTGTACTGGGTGAGGGAAGTTACCAGCGACACGTAAAGTAGCTGTGCTCCGCTCACGCCCCACAGTGTTGGAGGCTTCACAGGTGTAAGTGCCCTCGTCATAGCTCCTGACAGACAGGATGTAGAGGGTAGCGTTTCTCACCCTGAGAACAGAGAAGTTGATCGGTCATTATCACAGAAAGGGAAGTGGTCTCCTGTCCTTGTCATGCTAAAGGTTCCTGACAGAAGATTGGTTGATGATGTCAAAAATGTTTTCTAGTGTACAGTAACACAATACTGTGTTGACCCACTGAGCTAAAGCCTCACAGAACCACTTATGTTACACTGAACGTACCCCACAGCGATCTTGCCACCAGTCTGCATAGAGCGTCCCTGTTTGGACCAGACGATGAAGGGGAGGGGGTTTCCCCAGACCTGGCAGTGGAACACCACCTGGGCCCCCACAGGGACCATCACCACTGGGGGCCACAGCCTCACCGAGGGAGGGGCTGGCAGGACAAGAGGGGATCAGGGGGAGGAGGAAGAGTAGGCTGAACTTGTTACTTCTGTACCAGTATATCTCAGACAATGAACTGTGTCTCAGATGATGATTGCGATTGTATATGCGTACTGAATGTAAACATGCTTTATCAATATCTCCTATACAGACACAGAATAGAACATCTCCTATACAGACATAAGGCTAGTGAATAATAAGCCTACGTCATGTGTGATGTCTTACCCAGAATGGTCAGTCTGGCTGTTCTAGAGGTCACAGATCTGTACAGATGGACGTTGGACGCTCTGCAGAAGTACACTCCACTGTCTGTGTCATGGACACTGGAGAAACAAGCCGTTAAATACGGCTTACACTGGCTGTTACAGGATGACTACCATCATACAGTACATTAATATAGTCACGCACGCACACACACACACACATACCTATGGAAGATGAGGTCTCCATTAGGCCCAACAGTGAAGTGTGTCTTGGGAATGAGGAGGCGGTTGTTCTTGAACCAGGACACCATGGCTGGAGGCCTGCTGTAGGGGGGTCTGCAGACTAGAGTAACAGAGTCTCCCATCCTCACTGTCTGGTTGGTGGGCTGCTGGACAAAGCTCCATTCCATCTCTGTGGAGAGGAAGGGAGGTGCTGTATATCAGTTAAGGTGAAAGTATTGATATTTAAGTTGGATTAATAACAACCAGAGCATGGTATACAATACCTGCTGGGAGGAGATAGGCAGGCTGAGACCTGACAGTCTCCCTCTCATTCCTGGCCTCACAGTGGTAGGAACCCTCATCTTCCTCAGACACATTCCTGGGAATGAGGAGTACAGATGCGTTTTACATTGGATTTAAAGATAAAAAACTATGATAATGTCATAATGTCCTCAAGATCTCCTCACTTGAACACAAGCAGCTGTCCCTTGTTCTGCAAACTCAAGCCGGAGCTGTTCACCAGGAGATGGCTGTCTTTGAACCATTGCACTGTGGGAGCTGGGAAGCCTCGGGCAGCACAGCGCATGGAGACCTCTGTCTCTATGGCGATGGTGAGGTTGTCAGGGCCCTGAGTGATCTGCAGCCTTGTAGGGACTCCTGCAGAGAAATAGATACAGTACATGAAGGGGGTGGGTGGGTGGGGTGGGTTGTCTCAACCCTACACAGGCTTCCTGTGTAAAGTTCAACAGAGGAACAGAGAAACATTGGGGTGTGTCTCAACACCCTACAGTGTCTTCCTGTCAGTGTTGGGGAACCTACTCTGAAAATATAGTTTACCAAGCTACCAATTATTTCACACTGGAAGAAGTTAAGCTACACTACAGCTACCCTTAAGAAAAATATAGTTCACTTAACTATTTACTTTGAAAACTTTTTCAACTACTTACTGAAAAATTATCATCTGTAAATGTCATAGACTACACAATTCATGAACAGATCACTTTGGTGTCATAATGTTAACAGAATGTATAATTTTGCGTATTAAACACAAACACAATGTTTCAAATGAGAATTAGGCAGTAGTGTGTAGTTCTAGTAGTTAGCTACACTGCTAAAGAAATTAACTATTGAAAACACTACCTAGATTTGAATTTAGTTCAACTACCACCAAGCTACTGCAAAATGTAGTTAAATGACTAGTTGAACTACAGTACATGTAGTTCACTACTCCCCAACACTGCTTCCTGTGTAATGTTCAACAGAGGAACAGAGAAACATGGGGATGTGCTTCAATTCTCTACAGTGGCTTCCTTTCCTATGTTCAGTTTCCTCATGTTTAGTTGCCCTACTTTAGTCAATCCTGATTAAGGATACAGTATATGAGTTGGCTGAGTTACAGGGATGAGGTATAGATCAAGTTCAAGTTTGTCCCTGGTTCCCACGGACACAGCAATATTTTTACTGAGCCTGTGTGACTAGGATGTGAAATCTGAAACCACTTGAAGCTGGGATGTCCCTCCTACCATTTAATTCGCTCTTCCGAATGTCCATCAACTCTTGGCTGAACCCTACATCACAGCCACTAGCGCAGCAGGAGAGAGCGGTTTCATCACAGTAGCACATTCAGAGATTTCTGTTTGTCGGAGGCGAGTTCATAGCGAGTTCAGGAATTCAAGCTAGAGTTCTGTGAGACGTTCACAGTGATGGTTGCAGATGTTTTGATCAAGAGACCTTTAGAAAATATGCACATTTTCTCTAACACTAAACATACAAATATGCATTTTACAGTTATAAGGAAGGTGAAATCTTATAGTTAGTCATTTTATAATTTGATTATGCTATATTCAGAAAGCGTATAAGTCATTTCAAACCTTATTCAAACAGTTTTGTTGAATAGGAGATACGTCATATGAAATACTTCATATCTTCATATTTGTATCATATTTCTACTGTGTTATTGAACTTGTGTCCTAAAAAGTGACTACACCTCAGCAATATAAACATTTTCACCAGAAAGGTGAGATTTTAACCTTTCTTTGAATATGCAGCATTACTAGTTATTGTTTATGGCCCTCTCATGATAAATAATTACTTTTGGGGATTACGTAGATTACATTTTAAATTACATTGAGTTACAGTTAACTGGTTAAGGTGCAAGGAGTCAGTGCAAGAGACTGTTGTTGTGCCGACGGTCAGTCCATGTTCAAGAGTTCAGTAGTCTGATGGCTTGTGGGTAAAAACTGTCTCTGAGCCTGGAGGTACGGGACCCGATGCTCTGGTACCGTATGCCAGACGGTAACGGAGTGAATAGTCCATGGCTGGGGTGAGCGAGGTCCTTTGATGTTGCGGGCCTTCCTCAAGAGTAGATGTCCCGTATGGTGGGGAGCACGGCTCCAGTGATGTACTGGGCTGTATTCAACACATGCTGAAGGGCTTTGCGGTTGTGAACAGAGCAGTTTCCGTACCAGGCCGTGTTACAGCCGATCAGGAAGCTCTCGATCATGCTGCGGTAGAATTTGGAGAACCGCCGGAGAAAGTAGAGGTGCTGTTGCGCATTTTTGACCAGGGTGGTGGTGTTGTCGGTCCATGTGATCTTCTCGGTGATGTGGACGCAGAGGAACCTGAAGCTTCTGACTCTTTCCATTACAGCCTTGTGTGTTAGACGCCCCGATGTGGATCGGGGCGTGTCCTCCTCCATGCTTCCTGAAGTTGACAATCAAATCCTTCGTTTTGCTGACGTTGAGGGAGAAGTTGTTGTTTTGGCACCACACTGTCAGGTCTCTGACCTCCTCCCTGTAGGCTGAGTCGTCCTTGTCAGTGATGAGGATTACAACCGCGGTGTCGTCAGCAAACTTGAAGATGGAGTTGGTGTTGTGCTTCGCCACGCAGTACAGCAGTACAGCAGAGTACAGCAGATATACAGTGCCTTCAGAAAGTATTAACCCCTTGACTTTTTCCACATGTTGATGTGTTGCAGCCTGAATTTAAAATTGATTAAATTGAAATTTTGTGTCACTGGCCTACACACAATACCCCATAATGTCAAAGTGGAATTATGTTTTTAGACATTTTTACAAATTAATTAAAAATGAAAATCTGAAATGTCTTGAGTCAGTAAGTATTCAACCCCTTTGTTATGGCAAGCCTAAATAACTTCAGGAGTAAAAATGTGCTTAGCAAGTCACATAATAAATTGCATGGACTCTGAGTGCAATAATACTCTTTAACATGATTTATGAATGACTACCTCATCTCTGTACCCCACACAAGCGGTTAATTTCAAACACAGATTCAACCACAAAGACCAGGGAGTTTTTCCAATGCCTCGCAAAGAAGGGCACCTATTGGTAGATGGGTAAAACAATTATAATATCCCATTGAGCATGGCAAAATTATTAATTACACATTGGACGGTGCATCAATACACCCAGTCACTGCAAAGATTCAGGCGTCCTTCCTAACTTAGTTGCCGGATATGAAGCAAACCGCTCAGGGATTTCACCATGAGGCAAATGGTGAATAAAAAATAAGTTATACAGTCGATGTCCGCGCCCCAGCGGAATTCGAATTAGCATAATGAAACAATCTGCATACAAAGTCAGTTTAAGCTAGACATTGGCAATTTTAGTATGTAAATCTTGGTGGGGCAAACATAAAAAAAATGCGGGATGCATGCCAGCAAAGCCACTACACAACACAACACAACACTAAACAACACATTAATTGCACTATAACGGTGACAAACGGTGCCCACAAACTGTTAGGGCCTACATAAAGCTATCCCAACAGCAGAGTCCCAATTGAAATGTACAGCGACAGAATTCAGAACATAGGCCATTCTTACAGTGTTCTCCCTGTACACCAAGTCAGATCCATAGGATAAATAAAGGGGGCATATAAGCAGACAATGAAAGCTCTTACAATATCCAATGATTACATTTCTCTAAAACAGGTTATAGGCTACCTGTGCACTACCAAGTCAGAACAGTAAGCGAAATTAAGAGGGGAAAATAGACCAAATTATTAGGGTGAGGCACATGGGCTACTAACAGCTTACTACACAACATATACTTAGTATTACTTTCTTAGCTACAGTATACATATCTCCCTGGCATTTTACATTATTTATGCAGCAGCATTCAATACAGTTTTGGACTCACATTGTTGTGCTGTGCTCACTTGAACAGGAAGGTGGCGCGACAGTGCTTCGTGGGCAGATTTTGTCATCAAAGTTTGTCTCAAAGTCTGGCATTCTCTGGATTTATGGTGCTTTCAAGACAACTGGGAACTCGAAAAAAAAAAACAAGATTGAATCATGATGATGTTAGTGATCTTCAGGTCGTAGCTCTAGAAAGAGGCCTGAGTTCCGGATTTACAATTCCGAGTTGGATGACCGTTCAAAACGTATTTTCCCAGTCGGAACTCGTTTTTCCCGAGTTCCCAGTTGTCATGAACTCACTAAAGTAAAGTTTTCGCAGTTCTGAGTTAACAGTTGTTTTGAGCGCAGCACAAATCATGCTTCATTGACAGCATGGCCAATGTTGAATGTTTATCCTTTTAAATTTGGAAAAGAGACCCTTAATCCCAGATTTGGGACCACACGGCCACTGAACAGCAGGCTAGTGATTGCTTTGCAATGCTTGCAGTTAGCCACTGATTCCTTCCAAACCACACATTGTTGAAATTGCGATTTCCAACTTGTTGTGTAATGTTTATGTCTAATGGTTGATGAGCACCAATACATTTTATCTATAATTTCTCTTCATTATTTCTCTTCATATGACAAGGATTAAAAAGGATTTGCCAGTAGATTGTCGACTTCATTCATGATGATAACTGCTAGATAAGATTTCGAAAGTATAATGTTGACATCATCAGTCCAATCAAAGCTACTGTAAATATAATGTGATTTGACTTCATTTTATCTGTGTCTAATGACCTTGAGCCTTCTTGGATGGGCACTTCTAATGTAACTCTATGGCAGCACCCAAGGGGCTTGATTGCCAACAAATTTACGAGACAGCCTACAGGGAGGAGGTGAGGGCCCTGCCAGAGTGGTGCCAGGAAAATAACCTCTCCCTCAACATTAACAAAAGGAAGGAGCTGATCGTGGACTTCAGGAAACAGCAGAGGGAGCACACCCCTATCCACATAGTCGGGACCGCAGTGGAGAAGGTGAAAAGCTTCAAGTTCCTCTGCGTACACATCACTGACAATCTGAAATGGTCCACCCACACAGACAATGTGGTGAAGAATGCGCAACAGCACCTCTTCAACCTCAGGAGGCTGAAGAAATACTGCTTGACCCCTAAGACCCTCACAAACCTTTACAAATGCACAATTGAGAGCATCCTGTCAGGGTGTATCACCACCTGGTACGGCAACTGCATCGCCCGCAACCGCAGGGCTCTCCAGAGGGTGGTGCCCAACGCATCACCGTGGGCACACTGCCTGACCTCCAGGACACCTACAACAGCCGATGTCACAGGAAGGCCAAAAAGATCATCAAGGACATCAACCACCCGAGCCACTGCCTCTTCACCCCACTATCATCCAGAAGGCGAGGTCAGCACAGGTGCATCAAAGCTGGGACCTGTAATATTCATATGTGTCAACATACTGAAGTGTAATTGGTTGCATTCTACCGTCGTATCATACTATGGTATGATTGGTTAAACCCACCCAGGTCGTGAGGTCATTTTCAGTTGATCATGGCCGGAGACACGTGAACATGCAAGTTATAACTAGCTAATAAAGAGCTACGTTTAGAAAGATCCTGTCGTACTGCATTTTATTATTTTGTACAAAGCGTGCAAAACAAGACACGGTGTCAGAGTAAAAGGACTAAAAGATGGATTATGCTGGAGTTCCTTCACCTCAAATGGACTGGGGGTCTACAAACTTACCCGATGCATGGCGAAAATTCAAACAGCATGTGGAGCTAATGTTCACAGGTCCTCTGAACGAAAGAGGAGAAGAAGAAAAGTGCAGCTACCTGCTCCTGTGGATCGGTGAAAAAGGGAGAGACATTTACAACACATGGAGACTTACCGAGGCTGAATCAAATATACTGAAAACATACTATGATCGTTCTGAAGCATATGTTGTGCCAAAGACCAATATGATTTTCACTAGGTACAAATTCCATGAGAAAGTACAGGGAGCTAGCAAATCGTTTGAACAGTTTGTGACTGCGTCTGCTTGTGAAAGACTGCGATTATGTAAACAAGGATGAGATGGTCAGGGACCATATCGTAATTGGAATACACTCACCGCGAGTGAGAGAGAAACTTTTGAATGTTGGGTCTGAGCTAACGCTGGACAAAGCTATCGACATATCCTTGACTACTACAACCCCAACAAAGAGCTCAGACTCCAAGTGGACGCGTCAAAGTATGGACTAGGTGCAGTGCTACTGCAAGAAGGAAAGCCCATCGGCTACACTTCCAAATCTCTCACAGACTGTGAAATCAACTACGCTCAAATCGAAAAGGAGCTGTACACCATTCTGTTCGGATGTAAGCGTTTCCATCAGTACGTCTATGGACGACAAGTCATTGTGGAATCCGACCACAAGCCCCTTGAGTCAAACATGAGGAAACTGCTAGCCCCAACCCCACCAAGGCTAGAGAGAATGATCCTTCATGTCACGAACGTTACAGGAAGCGGACCAAGGCGCAGGGTGATAAGCGTACATCTTTTATTAAGTACACCACACGAACAAAACAATAAACCAAACGATACGTGAAGTCCTAGGTTAACACCAAAACAAACCTTACGGAACAAGATCCCACAATAAACTGGTGCCAACAGGCTGCCTAAGTATGGTCCCCAATCAGAGACAACGAGCTACAGCTGTCTCTGATTGGGAACCACCCTGGCCAACATAGATCAAAACGATCTAGAACAAAACATAGAAAACTATGGGCGTGACAGTACCCCCCCCCCCCCCACCCCCAAAGGCGCGGACTGCGACCGCGCCACACAAACACAAGAGGGTAGGGGCCGGGTGGGCATTCCGCCTCAGAGGCGGATCCGGCTCCGGGCGTGACCACCACTCTCTCTCTACCCCCCTGTAGCGCCCCTGGTCTGGTCTGGCCCCGCTGGCCGGAGCTGGACTGGACACCGGTGGAGCGGATTGCTCTGGCTCCGGAGTGGAGCAGCTGACCGGTGCCGGACCAGGCACCGGTGGAACAGGCACTGACCGTGCCGGACTGACGACGCGCACCACTGGCTTGGTGCGGGGAGCAGGAACGGGCCGGACCGGGCTGACGACGCGCACCACTGGCTTGGTGCGGGGAGCAGTAACGGGCCGGACCGGGCTGACGACGCGCACCACTGGCTTGGTGCGGGGAGCAGGAACGGGCCGGACCGGGCTGGCGACGCGCACCACTGGCTTGGTGCGGGGAGCAGGAACAGGCCGGACCGGGCTGGCGACGCGCACCACTGCCTTGGTGCGGGGAGCAGGAACAGGCCGGACCGGGCTGGCGACGCGCACCACAGGCTTGGTAGAGGGACAGGAACAGGCTGGACCGGGCTGGCGACGGGCACCACAGGCTTGGTGCGAGGGACAGGAACAGGACGGACCGGGCTGGCGACGTGCACCACAGGCTTGGTGCGAGGGACAGGAACAGGCCGGACCGGGCTGGCGACGCGCACCACAGGCTTGGTGCGAGGGACAGGAACAGGCCGGACCGGGCTGGCGACGCGCACCACAGGCTTGGTGCGAGGTACAGGAACAGGCCGGACCGGGCTGGGAACACGCACCATAGGCTTGGTGCGGGGAGCCGGAACGGGCCGGGCTGGACTGGGAACACGCACCATAGGCTTGGTGCGGGGAGCCGGAACGGGCCGGGCCGGACTGTGGAGGCGGACTGGAGGTCTGGAGCGGAGAGCTGACACAACCCGTCCTGGCTGAATGCCTACTTCCACACAATATGTGTGAGGCATCAGCACAGGACGTACAGGGCTGTGCACTCGTACTGGCGCTACAGCATGTGGCACTGGCGCAGGATATCCGGGACCGAGGAGGGGTACTGGAGGCCACGAGCGTTGAGCCGGCACACTCCGTCCTGGCTGCATTCCCACCTTAGCACGACACGTGCGTGGTGCTAGCACAGGACGTACAGGACTGTGCCGGAACACTCGCGGCACAGTATGTGGCTCCGCCAAACACCCTTTTAGCCCCCCCAAAATAAATTATTGGGGCTGTCTCTCGGGCTTCCTCCTCGGCCGGTACCCTCTGCGTTGCCGCTGCTCCTCTCTGTAGCGCGCCTCCACAGTCTCCTCCCAAGGACGGCGATCCATTCCGGCCTGGATCTCTTCCCAAGTCCAGGATCCCTTCCCATCCAGGATCTCCTCCCAAGTCCAGGCTGTCTGTTCCTGGACACGCTGCTTGGTCCTCTTGTGGTGGGATCTTCTGTCACGAACGTTACAGGAAGCGGACCAAGGCGCAGCGTGATAAGCGTACATCTTTTATTAAGTACACCACACGAACAAAACAATAAACCAAACGATACGTGAAGTCCTAGGTTAACACCAAAACAAACCTTACGGAACAAGATCCCACAATAAACTGGTGCCAACAGGCTGCCTAAGTATGGTTCCCAATCAGAGACAGAGAGCTACAGCTGTCTCTGATTGGGAACCACCCTGGCCAACATAGATCAAAATGATCTAGAACAAAACATAGAAAACTATAACATAGAAAATCCACACCCTGGCTCAACATTTAATAGTCCCCAGAGCCAGGGCGTGACACTTCAACTACAAAAATACGACTTCACAATCACTCACCGTCCAGGCAAAACATCCCTGTCGCAGACACACTCTCCAGGAAGTTTCTTACCTACAAGGACAGCAGCCTCAGTGAAGGCGTGGACATGCAGGTGCACACTGTGTACAGCAACTTACCAGTTAGTGACACAAAACTGAAGGAGATCCAAGCAGAAACAGAAAAGGACACACAACTCACACAGCTGAGGAATGTCATACAGGATGAATAGCCTGAGGAGAGGAGAGAATGCCCTCCAAGCGTCTCAGAGTTCTGGAACCATCGTGATGAACTATCACAGATCAACGGAATCATTTTAAAAGGAGAAGAATTCATCATTCCTACCAGTCTCAGAGAAGAGATTTTGACAAAGATCCATGCTGGACACATGGGCATGGAAAAGTGCAAATAGAGAGCATGGGACATTTTTGTTTTGGCCCGGAATGTGCAAACAAATAGAGGACATTAGTTGGTAAATGCCCCATCTTTCTTGAATGACGCCCCTCAAACACCAAAGAGCCACTGTTACCTTACTGTATCCCAGACCGACCCTGGCAGGTCGTGGCAACCGGTCTGTTCACCAGGAACAACGAGGACTACATCATAACAGTGGACTACTACAGCAGATACTCCAGACTCGACATGCTTCACAGCACCACATCTGCAGCTGTGATCCACAAGCTGAAAGCAGCCTTTTCCAGGCATGGCATTGTAGAGACTTCAATATCTGACAATGGCCCCTGTTACAAATCAAAGGAGTTTGAATCCTTCACAAAAGCATGGGAGTTCACACACGTCACCACAAGCCCACATTACCCTCAAAGTAATGGCCTTGCTGAAAAATCTGTGCAGATCGCTAAATCACTCATGGACAAAGCAAATGCAGACAAGAGAGACCACTACCTCAGTCTCCTTGAGTACCGCAACAGCCCAGCTGTTGATGAGCCGCAGACTTCGCTCAATCCTTCCCACCAACACCAACCAGCAGCTGCAACCTGAGGTCGTCAGCTACAAGGAAATGCATGCAAAACGTGCACAGAGACAACAACAGCAAAAGCGATACTACGACAGGTCAGCCAGACCACTGCCACCACTGAACGACGGAGAGTCAGTTAGAATCCAGGAGCATGGCTATTGGAATCCAGCAGTCGTCATCCAGCCAGCTGACACTGAACGTACATATCACGTCCGCACCGCAGAAGGAGCGGTGTACCGCCGCAATCGTTGTCACCTACTGAACACAAAAGAACAACACACTGACGAGATTAACTATTTCCCTGAAAGAGAACATGAAGGACTAAACACAAACACAACACAACATGCACCATACTTACCTGCAACACCACAAGAGCTGTTGACTGACACAGAAGCATGCTCAGCTTCATATCACACAAGGTCAGGAAGAGAGGTCAAGCCAAGAGCTGACCTAGACCTGTGAAATGTCAAAGGGTGTAGGCGGATCGCTGCCCTAGAAGAGTTCCGGACTGTAAACTTGTTATTGAGAAGTTAACTTGAAATGCTTTGGTATTGTATTTGTTTGAAATGTTGAGATATGTCATTGCTACAGTGAAAAGCTGAGTTGCAGAGAAATCTTAGTTCTAAAAGTAACAGTACGCTGAATCATTGTTTCAGAGTCTGTTATGTTGATGCAGTTGGTGCAGTATGCAGTTTAAATGGTTACTTACCTCGAGTTCAAACTACAGAGCATTTATTCAAAAGAAATACTTAGAAATATGTAGAACATTGTTCTTTTTTTTAAAGAAGGGGGATGTAATATTCATATGTGTCAACATACTGACTTGTAATTGCTGCATTCTACCATCGTATCATACTGCGCTATGATTGGTTAAGACCACCCAGGTCGTGAGGTCATTTTCAGTTCATCATGGCCGGAGACACGTGAACATGCCAGTTATAACTACAGTAGCTAATAAAGAGCTACGTTTAGAACGATCCTGTCGAGACAGCTTCTATCTCAATGCCATCAGACTGTTAAATAGCCATCACTAGCCGGCTACCACCCGGTTACTCAACCCCGCACCTTAGAGGCTGCTGCCCTATATACATATATTTTACATATTTAGCAGACGCTCTTATCCAGAGCGACTTACATTATTTTTTTCATTTTTCATACTGGCCCCCCGTGGGAATCAAACCCACAACCCTGGCGTTGCAAATGCCATGCTACCAACTGAGCTACATCTCTGCCGGCCATTCCCTCCCCTACCCTAGACAACGCTGGGCCAAATGTGCGCCGCCCCATGGGTCTCCCGGTCACGGCCGGCTACGACAGAGCCTGAATTCGAACCAGGATCTCTAGTGGCACAGCTAGACCACTGCGCCACTCGGGAGTAGACATGGAATCACTGGTCACTTTAATAATGGAACACTAGTCACTTTAATAATGTTTACATATTTTATTACAAGCATTTCGCTACACCCGCAATAACATCTGCTAAATATGTGTATGTGACCAATCAAATTTGATTTGACCATGAGACATCCCGAAAATCGGTCTTCCCACAAAATCGCCTGTAGCGTCCAAACAGTTTGGCCTACAAACTATTATGGCCTACAAACTACCACTCTATGAAAATATGAGACTCAAAACACGATGGTGTTCTCCATTTTGCTCTATGACCCCCACAAGCGTCTTGGGACTCGTCTGAAGTCGGTACAGCCGATCTGCCAACTTCTGTCTGTAGCGTCCAAACAGTTTGGGCTACACACTAATATGACCCCTCTGTGGAAAGGTGAGACTCTCACGAACACGTACATGTCGGTTGTTTTGCCACAGGCCTCACAAGACTTGTCTGAAGGTCCCCCGGTACCAGTTGAACAAATGTATGGAAGTACATATGGATACTGTTTAGTGCCAAAAATAAGGGGTTAAATACACGAGAAAAAACAAAAACAAATGTTTCCTGATCTTTCTTATATCTCTCAGATATAGGACAGGCACTTCAGAACAAACTTCCTTTTGATTTGTTTTTGGGACTATCTGTTGTTCCATGTAGTTAATATGTTATTCAATGCTTTTGTGTGGGCTAGTAGCAGTAAGGTCAAAAATAATTGTTCATCAAATATTTTTTTATTATTTTTTTAATACTTCAAGGTGTCTTAAAATTAAAAATCAAATAGCTAAATGGTCCTTGGTATGACCTTCTTAAAGCAATTCCAAATAGTTTAGTAGATTAGATATTTCTGTATTTCATTTTCAATACATTTGCAAAACATTTCTAAAAACATATTTCACTTTGTCATTATGGTGTATTGTGTGTAGATGGGTGAGAATAAATATATTTAATCTATTTTTAATTCAAGCTGTAACACAAAAAAATGTGAAATGAGTCAAGGGGTATGAATACTTTCTGAAGGCACTGTAGATTGATACAGGAGTTGGCTAGAACAGAAAAAAACTGGCACCAACTCTAGTTCCACCATCCATTCTGTTCTAAGAAGACAGGGCAGAGACAGGGGGTAGGCAGGGAGTAGGGGAGAGGCTGTGCATTGTCTCACCTTGTACTGTGAGTGTAGCTGCCTTGCTCTCCAGGCTGGTGTTCACTAAGGGGTTGTGTGTGACACAGACGTATTCCCCCTCGTCCTCTATTAAGACATTAGAGAGGTGCAGAGTGCCTGAGGTCTTCCTCTGGTTACCCCCTCCATATTGGCCCTGGAGAAACACATTGTGCATTTAGACATACACTCAGCCACACACAATCAAATATCCACATACACAAAGACACAAATAAGACATGCAATCAAATCCATGCACAGACTAATGCATTCAATACCTGAATCTGAGTGCCTTTTGTGAAGAGTGTGTTGTCTTTGAGCCAGGTGACGTGTGCAGGGGGTGAGCTGTTCCCTGAGACACACTGGAGGAACACTGCCTGACCCTCACTGACCGTCAGAGACTGAGGACTAAAGAACACTGCCTCCAGCTCTACACACAAACACACACAGTATCAAACAAAGGATCAAATGTATCTATGCTTTTCTCATTTCTGAGACAGAGGTCACATAAAAGCCAGATATGTTATGTGTACTAAAGCTAATGTAAAGGTATTGTATTATTCCAGCAGAGTTATGCAGAAGAGGTGAGAAGGCCAACAAACCAGCTTCCATCACTTGGACAACAGTCCTGATTTGTTTGGCTCCAATGCCTGCACTACAGACGTATCTCCCCAGGTCCCCTTCTCTCAGCTGGGGGAACAACAGAGATCCGTTGGCCACTTGGTAGATCCCTTTGTCAGGACCAGGACTCAGTGCTGCTGCCTCTCCACTGGCCCTTTCCCATCGAACAGACAGTGCCCCCTGGCGGCTTGAGTCATACACTGCACAGTGCAGCATGAGGGGCGCACCCAGCACACCAACACCATCCTCTGGACGGGTGGAGAACACTGACCACAGACAGAAGTGTGAGACACAAACCAGAGAGAGAGAGAGCGAACAGGCAGCAAATTGACGTACTAAATTCTGAGGCTTCACTATTCAGAGTTGATCCTATACTGTAGGTGATAAAACGGGTGGGTCTAATCCTGGATGCTGATTGGTTAAAACCACATTCCAGCCGGTGTCTATTCCACAAGTTACCACCGGCTAAAGCTATGATCCTATGCTGTAGGTTAAGTAACACATGAGACCCAGTCAGTGTCTGCTTGTCAGTAACTTGTCGTGTGAAAGGATACAGAGCTGATTAATGCACCAGTCAGGCACCCAAATGGCTAGTTACCGTATGTAATATGAATACATTACTTCAAATCATTAGCTGCAATCATTAACAGTGAAGTAGCTAGTAAAAGTGAGTGTTGTTTTGAGTTATTACTCTACAGAATAAAAAAAACAGAAGAGGATTCAACATTCATATATTAATTTACAAAAGATCTAATGATTGAATGTTCCCAAACAGCCAATTTATCTGAAAACCTGGATACATCACACTATCAGATAACAGTGTGTGTGTAGCTGCATGTTGCTAGGAGACAGATAAAGCTGAAGCAGGTTTTTTAAAGCCTTTTGTCACATGTATACATGAGGCCTGGAAATTAGCATGGGGACTATTTAGAAAACTGGTCTCGATCATTGCAGAAATCATGATAGTATCAGTATTTCATTGATACATAATTAACTCGTAGTATTAGTGTTGCAGGTCATAAAGGGTGGACCTATATCTCTAATGAAAATGTATAATGTGATTACGTCTGTTCTGTAAATGTGATTAATGATATGACCAAAAAAAAACATCACCAGTATTATGCAATCATTGTGCAACAACCAGTCTATGCAATAAGTGTTCACACAATCATTTGGCAACAGCATTTGCATTACCACACTTGACTCCACTCTATGACATTAAACTGCAATAACAGCAACAAAAGCGAAAGCATACATACTGTGCACTCTGTATTCAGTTTGCCTCTCACTCACCAAGGTCAGACAGGGCTGGTTGACTGTGAAGAGCGCAGGAGAGAATGAGCAGCCAAAGGTGAGAGGTCACAGGAGGGGGACCCCAGACAGACGTAGACTCCAGCATCCTACTGCAGGGCTCCACCTGACACTGAAGTCCAGAGAGGCTCGTCCATGGTACCAGCAGTACGTGTGTCCTGAAAAACAGTGTGACAATCACATATCATATTCATCTTATGTGGTGAATCAGAGATTATATGAGTAGATTTGAAAAAGATAGCTTGATTGTTTGACCAGTTCAATCAGGGGCCTAACGTGGATTATTTAACATGTTCCCTATGTTGTTTGCAATTATTTGTCTGATTGTGGATTTATTATAGTGTGTAACTAGTAACATGAATAGTATTATTTTGCATCCTAAGGGGTTGCCAATCTTGTTGCACTGTTGCAGTTCTTTTGTGCATGTGCATGTGTGCATGCATTTTCTCGATGCTCCATGTAATATATGAAAGAGCTCACCAAGCAACACTCCAACTCTCTCTCTCTCTCTCTCTCTCTCTCTCTCTCTCTCTCTCTCTCTCTCTCTCTCACTCTCTCTTCCTCTCTCTAATTCCTATTTTGGTTGTGTGTTTCAGTGGCACCGCGATGGCAGTGGAGCATTGTCTGCTACTGGCCTCTCTACTCTCTTCAATGGGCCAGCCACTTTATCCTCTAGCTCAGCAGCAGCAGCCCCTCCACTCAATGAAGGTGACATGAAAAGGCCTGCAGAGCTTTGTACTGTGAAGATCAGTTATCATCAGCCCCCCTGGAAAAAAGCTGCCTGTCTGATCATATGGGCTTTCATGCTCATGCTCAGCCCAACATGGCCATGTAAGGATAGAATGACTAAGTGATGTGACCGTTTGTGCTCGTAGAGGTGTGTGTTTCATGCTTGTGAACATTACAGGTTTGAAGAGGGGGAGTGTAGTGTATTTGATCTCAAGCAGCTCTAAAGGCCTCATGCTGGACATGCATATGAAAGGAGATTAGTTACATGCGATAATGATAAATAAAAACAAATATTTTAAAAACACTGCATTTACTCTGCTGTGATGCAGGGTTAGGGTATAAGTTCATATTGCATGGGGTGAGGAGACGTCTGAAGGAGGTTTTTCTCAGTGGCGTGAGCAGCTTTAGTGAAAGTATATTTCTGCATGTGGAAATAGTTAAAATCACAATAATTGAATGATAAATTCACCTCAGATTGTATCAATGGTCATATACTCCTTCATGGAATATCTGTAGAACACGAAACAACAAAATGGACATAAAAAAGTCAAACTGAAAATCTACAACACCTAAGGCAACTGAAAGTACAGTGAGGGAAAAAAGTATTTGATCCCCTGCTGATTTTGTACGTTTGCCCACAAACAAAGAAATTATCAGTCTATAATTTTAATGGTAGGTTTATTTGAACAGTGAGAGACAGAATAACAACAACAAAAATCCAGAAAAACGCATGTCAAAAATGTTATAAATTGATTGATTTGCATTTTAATGAGGGAAATGAGTATTTGACCCCTTCTCAATCAGAAAGATTTCTGGCTCCCAGGTGTCTTTTATACAGGTAATGAGCTGAGATTAGGAGCACACTCTTAAAGGGTGTCAAGGTAGATGTAGGTGGGTGTGGTGGTGGAATCAGGCGCAGGACGCAGAACGTTAGTCCAACAGACTTTAGTAGATGCACACAAATACAATCACGAATAAATGCCCTGAGGCGAAAACTCCGCACGTAGGCGAAAATAACGGGCGCACTAACAGGTGCGACAAAACACTCCAAACAATATGGAGAAATAGCTCAACGGAGCAAACAGTAGAATAACAGCCTACTGGCACGACAGTAAAACAATAACACACAACACTAGACAAACACAACGAGACCTTATAGGACACTAATTACACTAAACGATAACAGGTGTAACAACAATCAGACAAAAGCAAACGAACATAGAAACATGCAACGGTGGCAGCTAGTATTCCGGAGACGACGAACGCCGAAGCCTGCCCGAGCAAGGAAGAGAGGCAGCCTCGGCCGAAACCGTGACAAAGGGAGTGCTCCTAATCTCAGCTTGTTACCTGTATAAAAGACACCTGTCCACAGAAGCAATCAATCAATCAGATTCCAAACTCTCCACCATGGCCAAGACCAAAGAGCTCTCCAAGGATATCAGGGACAAGATTGTAGACCTACACAAGGCTGGAATGGGCTACAAGACCATCGCCAAGCAGCTTGGTGAGAAGGTGACAACAGTTGGTGCAATTATTCGCAAATGGAAGAAACACAAAATAACTGTCAATCTCCCTCGGCCTGGGGCTCCATGCAAGAACTCACCTCGTGGAGTTGCAATGATCATGAGAACGGTGAGGAATCAGTCCAGAACTACACAGGAGGATCTTGTCAATGATCTCAAGGCAGCTGGGACTATAGTCACCAAGAAAACAATTGGTAACACACTACGCCGTGAAGGACTGAAATCCTGCAGCACCCGCAAGGTCCCCCTGCTCAAGAAAGCACATATACAGGGCCGTCTGAAGTTTGCCAATGAACATCTAAATGATTAAGAGGAGAACTGTGAAGGTGTTGTGGTCAGATGAGACCAAAATCAAGCTCTTTGGCATCAACTCAACTCGCCGTGTTTGGAGGAGGAGGAATGCTGCCTATGACCCCAAGAACACCATCCCCACCGTCAAACATGGAGGTGGAAACATTATGCTTTGGGGTGTTTTTCTGCTAAGGGGACAGGACAACTTCACCGCATCAAAGGGACGATGGACAGGGCCATGTACAGTCAAATCTTGGGTGAGAACCTCCTTCCCTCAGCCAGGGGATTGAAAATGGGTCGTGGATGGGTTTTCAAGCATGACAATGACCCAAAACACACGGCCAAGGCAACAAAGGAGTGGCTCAAGAAGAACCACATTAAGGTCCTGGAGTAGCCAGTCTCCAGACCTTAATCCCATAGAAAATCTGTGGAGGGAGCTGAAGGTTCGAGTTGACAAACGTCAGGCTCGAACCCTTAATGACTTGGAGAAGATCTGCAAAGAGGAGTGGAACAAAATCCCTCCTGAGATGTGTTCAAACCTGGTGGCCAACTACAAGAAACGTCTGACTTCTGTGATTGCCAACAAGGGTTTTGCAACCAAGTACTAAGTCATGTTTTGCAGAGGGGTCAAATACTTATTTGACCCCCCTATCAATTTATAACATTTTTGACATGCGTTTTTCTGGATTTATTTGTTGTTATTCTGTCTCTCACTGTTCAAATAAACCTACCATTAAAATTATAGACTGATCATGTCTTTGTCAGTGGGCAAACGTACAAAATCAGCAGGGGATCAAATACTTTTTTGCCTCACTGTATACACTTCAATTTCCATTAAACGTAAATATTTGAAGTAGATTCCTGAAAATTTGACACAAATGTCAGTATAATACTGCAAGCAGAGTGGACACAGATTGCTTAAGAACTGTGATAGTGAAAGCGGTCCCATGGCCATGGCCCCTAACTGGCAGTGGAAGTGCTTGCTAGTAGGCATGTGAATGGGCACTTTAGGGCCTGGACTTATTCTGGCATGGGTAGCAAGCCAGCAGGTGGGTACACTAACAGCTATCTCACAACAGGCCATTTACCTAGCAAGCAGTTTAGCAAGTCATTAAGATTTTATTTCATCTCTCACTCAAGCACTTACAGATGTAGGATCTTAATTTGAGCCAGTTTGCTACAGCAGAAACAGAAAATGTGGTTAATGGACATTTTTGAAGGGGTTGATGAATTCCAAAGTGGAAAGTTCTCCAGCAACGGGGTGATCAAATTATTATCCTACATCTGTTTATTCTCTGTCTGTTTCTTAGTTTTTTGGTTTCAGATATTTTGCCTTGACAGTCGTGTTATTTGTCAGCAGCAGTATCTAAAAAAAACAATAAGACTCCAATGAGACAGGCTACCAAAGCTTCAAAATGTTCAATTAGTTTCTGAAATTACATTCTTTATGTGTAATGATGTAACATACAAAGATGCATGAAATTAATGCTGGTTATTGTGAAAGGCCACTGCAACATTTCCAAATTGATATGAAACTTAATTACCAGAAATGCACACCCACTGTAATATTACAATATATTTAAATGTTAATGCAACTAGCACTATTGTAGACTATTGTAACTGTAACTATCACTATTGCTAAAAACATTCCAACGAATGACATCATAAAATGCAGAATGCATGTAAGTATTTCCTATTGTAGCAAAATTGCTAAAATTTCAAGACAACCTTTGCTTAGGCTACTTATTTGGAAGTTATTGAATGATGAAACACAATATCATGACGTATAAAGTAATACACTGTACCTTCAGTCAGTAGATCTCTCCAGCTCTCTCCAGTCCATGCAGACCCTCCGTTCGTCCGCTGCATATGCTTAGCTTTAAGGTGGAAAGGACAAGCCACGCTCACTTGCACATGCACGCATCAGACACTCGCACACACACACACGCACGCACGCACGCACGCACGCACACACACACACACACACACACCACACAAACGCACACACGCACGCATGCACACACACACACACACACACACACACACACACACACACACACATAGTGGAGCAGAACAGACCATAATCCATTCATAGCCACTTCCAACAGTACTATAACAAGCTTATTATCATAATACAATACAAAGTATTGTCTTTCTATTGTTGTTCCAGATGAAGGAGCACTGATGAGTTGTAAAAAAAGGTACGCACAGATAATGAAAATTCATATTAAATATCCCTAATGATTAGGGTTGCAAAGTGAGGGTATACAGTGCATTCGAAAAGTATTCAGACCACATTTTGTTACGTTACAGCCTTATTCTAAAATTGATTAAACAATTTGTTTTCCTCATCAATCTAATACACACAAAACCCCATAATGACAAAGCGAAAACAGGTTTTTAGACATTTTTGCAAATGTATTAAAAACTAAAAACTGAAATACCTTATTTACAAAGTATTCAGCCCCTTTGCTATTAAACTCGAAATTGAGCTCAGGTGCATCCTGTTTCGATTGATAAACCTTGAGATGTTTCTACAACTTGATTGGAGTCCACCTGTGGTAAATTCAATTGATTGGACATGCTTTGGAAAAAGGCACACACATGTCTACATAAGGTCCCACAGTTGACAGTGCATATCAGAGCAAAAACCAAGCCATGAGGTCGAGGGAATTGTCCGTAGAGCTCCAAGACAGGATTGTGTCGAGGCACAGATCTGGGGAAGGGTACCAAACAGATTCTGCAGCATTGAAGGTCCCCAAAAACACAGTGGCCATCATTCTTAAATGGAGGAAGTTTGGAACCACCAAGACTCTTCCTAGAGCTGGCCGCCAGCCAAACTGAGCAGTTTGGCTGGGGGAGAAGGGCCTTGGTCAGGGAGGTGACCAAGAATCTGATGGTCACTCTGACAGAGCTCTAGAGTTCCTAAAGGCACCTAAAGACTGAGAAACATGGTTCTCTGGTCTGATGAAACCAAGATTGAACTCTTTGGCCTGAATGCCAAGCGTCACGTCTGGAGGAAACCTGGGACCATCCCTACGGTGAATTATGGTGGTGGCAGCATCATGCTGTGGGGATGTTTTTCAGCGGGAGGGACTGAGAGACTAGTCAGGATCTAGGCAAAGATGAACGAAGCAAAGTACAGAGAGATCCTTGATGAAAACCTGCTCCAGAGCGCTCGGGACCTCAGACTGGGGTGAAGGTTCACCTTCCAACAGGACAACAACCCTAAGCACACAGCCAACACAACGCAGGGGTGGCTTCGGGACAAGTCTCTGAATTTCCTTGTGTGGCCCAGCCAGAGCCCGGACTTGAACTCGATCTAACATCTCTGGAGAGACCTGAAAATAGCTGTGCAGCGGCGCTCCCCATCCTAACTGACAGAGCTTGGGAGGATCTGTAGAGAAGAATGGGAGAAACTCCCCAAATACAGGTGTGCCAAGCTTGTAGCGTCATACCCAAGAAGACTCAAGGCTGTAATCGTTGCCAAAGGTGCTTCAACAAAGTACTGAGTAAAGGGTCTGAATACTTATGTAAATATGATATTTCCGTTGTAATAATTTCTAAAAACCTGTTTTTGCTTTGTCATTATGGGGTATTGTGTGTAGATTGATGAGGAAAAAAATCAATTTCATCCATTTTAGAATAAGGCTGTAACGTAACAAAATGTGGAAAAAGTCAAGGGGTCTGAATACCTTCGGAATGCACTGTATTACTGAAAACTTTCTAAGTTTACCATTAAACTATCAGAATTTGGGAATATTTCAAGGATTTTATATAAACTATCACAAGAAATCTAGTGGCGCTTTTGGGTACTTCAGATTATCACAGGTGTCTGTAATTATCTCTGGCCCTCTGTGTGGCCTTATCACATGTAAAATATATGAAATAATTAAATAAGATGATTTTCAAATAAAAAATAGAATGACAAAGTTGTAAAACATGATCCTAAATATAAACCGTCAACTTAGTGAATACCATTGGTGTTTAATATGAGGGTTTCAGCATGAAATGTCCTTTATCTTATTTTTTATGTCAGTATGTATTTATTGTCAATGTTTTGGCGTCAAACTGGTGTCAGTTATGAAAAAAGGAAATAGTTGGAAGAGTTAATTGAAAATAATGCCATTGTTGATTAGATGCTTTTTTCATCAATTAGGCTATTTTCTCTTGAACTAAATGGTCTAGCTCCTAGAACTAATGGACAATATAAAAAAGTTAGTCAAGTATAAATGACCAAAGTTACTATAGATTGCTATAGATTTTCAGTTAATTACAGAAATTACTGAAGATTCTGGTAACTTTGGTAAACTACCGATAGCTTTTCTACCCTACTAATGATGAACGTGTTTTAGTTAGTTAATATACCAAAAGGCACTATTTGAATGTCCTATCAATGAACAATATTGGACACACAGTACGAAGACATAATTGGAAACGTCCTGTAACAACTCAAAAGAGTTGCCTGTACCTGAGTGACTAAAACCGGCCGTTCTATAATAGCATTCAATCTATAGAAGTGGATCTGTTAATGGACTGTGCATCATGGAAAGTGCTGTCTGGACTTTTTCCGCCTTAAATGAGGCTAATGAGAATGACTGCAAGGCAACACCAAACACTAAACCAATATCGTGACAGTTTTTGTCATTGGAAATAATGTGCTGTCGTACATAAGGAAAAACAGAAATAAACACTTTATCAAACAATTGATAACAACACCATTGTGTCATGTAAGATGTTGGTGAGACACATATCCTATGTTCATAGAAAATAAGGTTATTGTGACTGCCTTCACTGAATCCATTAAGTATTGTCTATAGACAAGACTGTCAATTAAGGTTAAGGACACATCAATGTAAGCATAAACGGATAAGCAGTTTTCGTCTTCCCACGTTAAGGAGAAGAGCTGATAGGCTAAACACAATGGTCTCAACTCCATGGAATTGAGGCTGTAGTAGCGCTGTTTAGCACATTCAAAGGCATGGGTATTATCCACACATAGCCTCGCCTCAGTCTACCTGTAGTAAGACTTTGCAAATGTAAATTGACTCATTTTCCCCAATCAATTCAGCACAATCAAATGGAAATTAAAGTACAAATAGGCCCGGTTTATAAACTATGCAAGGAGGGTGATTTTAATTAACTGGACAAAGACTGATTTAGTTGGCACGTGATATTGTCAGTTCTGGACATCAAACACACAAATTCACCAGAGGTGTGCAACTCGATACCTGCCTAGACGCTAAGCATTTCTATTTGCTGCTGATGTGATAAAGTTTAATAAAAAGTATATAGTACTATATAAAATTAAAATCCTGGGGGGTTAATGTGGTCATTGGTTAGTTGTAAATATAACTCTACTCTGGAGCCTCAATAATGTAATAATAATGTAATTGAAATGCAATGTACTAAGATGAGTCATTGATTTATTGAGACCAAATGGTGTCTTTAGCTATGAATATGTATTCTGTAACTGAACTTATGCAGCTCTTGCACAGTAATGTAAATGCATTTACCAACAACCATAGTAAAACAAATATTATAAGAACTTTGTTTGCAATGGATGCTTGTTTCATTGTTTTATGCATTGATGTATACCTTCCCCGTGAGAGGGCTTGTTGTGAGATAATGATAATGTCAGAGATGAAGGGGCTTTCCTCAGCGTTGAGGAGGTGTGGGTGTATAGAGTGGTGTCATTCAAACCCTCAGCTCTCGGCTCTATAATCAAGACATGTGGACCAGCAGGCGGACATTACTGAGCAATGACTCATGATGAAAATCGCATTCACACTGAATACAGCTTACCCTGCAAAACGTGCAGTATTATTGCTACATTAATATATTGATTGGTACACAAAGCATCAGCTTTAAATTACTTTTTATTCAAATACATCTAACAATAAATAAATTCAAAGTATACCTACTCACTGCCGTGTCTTTCAGAGCCAGAATTGCAAACTAGCTAGATGTTTTGAATTGACAGGTTTTAAATTGTTTATTTGAGTAACAAGGGATGAAGATCTTCAGTTGTTGCTATTATTCTTGTAATGGTAGGTCTTATAGCCACATTTAAATTCAGTGTTTGTACTGAAAATTACAATAAACTGTAATATGGAACAGATCCTAGTTAAAAAGCATGACATTCAAAAGAAACAGGCCACAGGTCAGGTCGAAAAATGGTGATGCACAGGAGGTGCAATTATGCCTAGCTATCACTTTAGAAGACACAATGTTAGCCTGGTCCCAGATCTGTTTGTGCTGTCTTGCGAACTCCTTTGGTCATTGTCATGCATGTGAAAATGACCATAGGAGTTGGCGGAGTCGGGAAGACAGCACAAACAGATCTGGGACCAGGCTAACACAATAGTGATTTCTGTATTCTCGAGTTCAGAAGTCAGAAAAGCAGAGGGCTCAACCAGACAATGATTGGAGTAAAAAGGAAGCGGGCAGGAACTTTGAAGATAGGACTGGCAGCTCCGTGGAGATCAGGCCAGCAGAAAGCCTGCTCCAACGTGTGACGTGTCTCAGGACTGATACCTGGAAAACCAGGAGGATTGAGGAGATTGGTACAGATGTAGCAGTGCAGGTTCATCATAGAATACCTTTTGTATCCTGTAAATATGATCTTACCGTGTTGTGTCCATTTATTCCAGGCATGCAGTGAGTCGCTTTTATGCTGTCCTCCAGCGTCTGTGTGGAATGGAATTGGAACTTAGGCTATCTTATGACAGATTATAAATAGCCTAATATTAAATGTGGGAACAACATACCTACTGTACAGTCATGTATCTTGTTTAGTTAAAGTGCTCACCTCTTGAGTGATCCAAGAGCAGATGCTTCAGTTCGCGGAGGGCACGGGTGAGATTCTCCAGACGGTGGTGAAGGTGGACATTCTCCTCTTTCAGAGCGTGGATGGTATCCTGGAGCTCATAGCTAGAGCCAAATCTTGGAAACATACAGATCACCCAGAACATCACAGCCACCTGCACAGTGAGCAGTGTTGTATCCCTCAAGGACATAATAGCGAAAGATAGGCTAATAGCAATTCTGTCTGGCAAAATCAACTCAATGTTTCATTGCTTTGTCAAGAATGTCTGAATACCCCTACCGCAGCAACTGCTCGGATAAACTGCTCGGCTGCTCCAAAATGTGATAAAAGCATGTGTAAATGGCAGCATTGCCTATTTCTAGGGCTTGCCTATTTCTAGGTCAAACCATTATTTGGGGTCCAATAGTGGTGGGCAGCCATAGGCCACTCTCAGAGATCAATTGTACTGTTCTGCATCACTAATCTAGGCTAGGGAGACTTCCTGCCCAAAAGGTGCTTTTCTGTTCCCTAATGACATTGACTTCATAAGGTCCACCACAAAGGTGAAACAATCTGCTGTGAACAGTGAACCTATCTCATTCCAGGAAATCAGAGAAACCCAGATAAATTCCCCCCAAGTCTGCATTGCCTGGGAAAGTAGCTACCCACATAAAAAAAATACTACAGTTTATTATAAATTATTACAGTACTTACTATATCATTCTGTAGGAAACTGTAGTATACTATGCTACACACTGTAGCATCCCTCGATCATGTGTAGTACTTTGTCAATAATTTTGTAGTATACTGTAGAATACTGTATTAAAACTACAGTATTATCCACAAAAAACACTGTAGTAAATACTAAAGAAATGTCTGCAAAAACACTACAGTCCGCTTTTTTTTTTACTATAGTAAATACTACAGTATTTAATTTTCATATACCCTGCCCATTCCCCTCCACCATATCCGAATTTGTGCCACCCATAAGTGAGAAACCTACATGTCAAGAATAGACCACATATTTTGTTCCCTACATGTTATAGAAAAGAGCAGAAGCCCTGAACTCTCCGTTTACACCCCAGTCCTACCTATCTACAGTACCTACCTACCTACCTACCTACCTACCTATAGGTTAAGGAAAATGTGCTCATTTAGTATTTCTCCAGTAGGTTTCCTCAAGGAGAAAGCCCCCCACTTCTATGTCAAAGATAAAAAAACAAAAACACTTTAGTAAATACTACAGTAATGTCACTAAAAACACTACAGTAAATACTACAGTATACTACAGTCTGCAAAAACACTACAGTAAATAATACAGTATACCGTACTACAGTCCGCAAAAACACTAGAGTAATTACTCTAGTATATACTACTCTTTGTTTTACTACAGTATTTATACTATAGTAAACTGTAAATACTGCAGTATACTACAGTGAATACTACAGTATAGTCCGCAAAAAAACATTCCTACCATTGTGTACACTATAGTATTTTTTCATGTGGGTAGCTCTAACCAGAGCCATATTTTTATGAAGAGGAGAAATTCCACTAAACTAAACTTGGCGAGACTTACCACAGAACCTGGAGGGGACTGGAGTATCTACTATTTAACCTCGAGCCTCTATCCTCATTGAGCATTGGATAGAGCTGTTTACAGTCTCTGTCTGTGGCCTGTCTGTCTGTGACACATCACACATGCCTGTGTGAGCCCAATTCCTTTTTAAAACGCAGCATGTTTCAGTATTGTCAAAAGGTTGTCACAAAGTGACACATTTGCATTTTCGGGAGTTGCGGTCACCTCAGTGGTTACAGTTCAAAGTTAGCTGACAAAAGTTGGAAATTGGTTTGATGTTACGGAGGTCGTACATAGCGCTTCGGAGAAGGGCACCCCTCAATGGGGTAACATCTGGCGTGTCGTGGGAAGTCAAAATGGAAGAAATAAAAAATATTCCTGGAGTGATTGATGCACGTCAGATGAATCGAGTAGTTAATGTAGAGAAAGTGAAGAGTCTATCTATTATTTACTTTTTTGAAGCGAGTTGAAGTTGGGGTATATGATTTACCGTGTAAGAGCGTTTGTCCCAAGATTGCTGCAGTGTGATCGCTGTAGTGCCTCTGGACATGTGGAAAGTGTCTGTAGAAGAAAGAAGCCAAGGTGTGAAAGTTGTGGAGAAGATCGTGTGAAATGTTTCAATTGTGGTGGGAACCATGTTGCTTCATCTTTGGAATGCCCGACAATGGTGAAGGAAAATGAGGTGGCTAAAGTCAGGGCCAACCAGAACATATCATATGCAGCGGCTGTCAAGAGGGTTGAGGGAGCGAATGGTCTCGAAGGGCCCATGGTGGTGGATAGGCATTCACTGCAGGCGGCAGGGGTTGCCTCTCATCAGCAGGACTCAGCTATTCTACAGGCTAAGAAGGTGGACTTTGCACTCTTTATGGCTATGGTGATCAACGGCACTGCCAAAGTGGAGAAAAAGTCTAGAAAGATGGACATCATTGTGGATGCGGCAGAGCATTTTCTGGGATTGGAGGACTTACATGAAAGGCTGTTACGAGCTATACTACTGTCTCAGGCCCCAGAGCCTGAGTGGGGAGATATGGAACTTTGAAGGACGGAAGAAGTGGGAGTCTGTTTTGTTTTGTCTACTATTGTAGTTGTAAGGAGTAAGTTAGTTTTCCCCATTAAGTATGGTTTTATTTTTTACTTTGAATCCAGTAGTGGGCGGAAATACAACTTTTTGGATGTAGTCTGCCCTAAAACCCCACCGAAGAAGAAGAAGAAGAAGAAGAAGAAGAAGAAGAAGAAGACGTTATGGAGATCAGCAAAGATACTTTTGAGGAGATGGGAAACTCCATTGGAATTGTACGTTGCCCATGTGTTGTCAATGGGCCAAGCGGTGCATTCTGGGTGAATCTGGGACAAGGAGAGCTCTTCTTCAAGGAGTGAATGGGTACCAGGGAAGAACGACTGCCCCCTCGCATTGAGGATTTCAAGTTGAAGGCCGACCGTGGTACTGCAGGCATTGTTTCCAGAAAACAGGATCCCCCATTATAGTGAATGGGGAAATGCCGATCTTCGTGGTCAATATTCATGGATGCCCAATTTTTAACACAATTATGGTACCAATAATTGTTTTCATTTCACCAGATGTATTTCCTTGAACCGATTACTTTAAAATCACACACAGATGAAGCTATACGAATCATTTAGTTGCTAATGGCAGCCTGCAGTACCTCTGTCAGCCTTTGACTTGAGATACTCCATGAGAGGCGGCAACGCTGAGCTAGCCTGCAACGTCACTTTCTAGAGTAGCTCAAACTGTGCATGCAATTTTTCCCAAAACTCCTCCATGTAGCAAGATGGTGACATGCTGAAATGACACTTCCTGATCATCAAATGCGCCACTGAGCATTCTCATAGGGGGGCCAGTATGAAAAATAAAAAATTAATAATGTATGCACTCACTAACTGTAAGTCGCTCTGGATAAGAGCGTCTGCTAAATGACTAAAATGTAAAATGTAAACAATGGGGTGACGTCATCGATGGCTTAGTCCATATTTGTACAGTCATTTCGCCTAGCACTCGCACAAGTCCGGATCGTGGAATCTATTCAATACACTGCCTAACGGATGCTACTGTTTCATCAGGGAGTAACAAAGATGACGTCATGTCCATCCTGATTCACGTTATGTTTGTATTTCATGAGCCACGAATGAAGAGCACAAGGATTTCACATTGTTTAAAGTTCTGAGAAACTTCACACATGTGCACACATTTCATTCAGAATGAGACGGTAATCCTTCACGGATAATATGGTAAGTTGACTATGTATACTCCCTAAACGATAAATAAGACAAGACATCCAAATGCACAGATTACTTTTAGGATGGCCAGCAACGCTGAATATCAAATATAATAATTTGTAAAGAAAAATTAGTCAGACTCGGCAGAGGTATCAAGATAGAGAGATGCGCACACACATAAGTGTCAAAGTGTTCACAAGGACGCGGCCATGTGACTCATTTTTTGTTTTTTTAACATTTGTACGTCATTTAGCAACGCTCTTATCCCGAGCGAACGCCATGCTCTATCAACTGAGCTACATCCCTGCCGGCCATTCCCTCCCCTACCCTGGACGACGCTGGGCCAATTGTGCGCCGCCCATGAGTCTCCCGGTCGCGGCCGGCTGCGACAGAGCCTGGATTCGAACCAGGATCTCTAGTGGCACAGTTAGCACTGCGATGCAGTGCCTTAGACCACTGCGCCACTCAGGAGTACTCCAATGCTCAGGACTCCAATGCTTCCCACAGTTGTGTCAAGTTGGCTGCATGTCCTTTGGGTGGTGGACCATTCTTGAAACACACGGGAAACTGTTGAGTGTGAAAATCCCAGCAGCATTGCAGTTCTTGACACAAACCGGTGCGCCTGGCACATACTACCATACCCCGTTCAAAGGCAATTCAATATTTTGTCTTGCCCAGTAACCCTTTGAATGGCACACATCCATGTCTCAATTGTCTCAAGGCTAGAAAATCCTTCTTTAACCTGTCTCCTCCTCTTCATCTACACTGATTGAAGTGAATTTAACAAGTGACATCAATAAGGTTTCATAACATTCACCTGGATTCACCTGGTCAGTCCGTCATGGAAAGAGCAGGTGTTCCTCATGTTTTGTACACTCAGTGTATAAAGTATAAACCCACCATAGTGATGTCGGTGAAGAAGTTATGAATGGGTTCCCAGGTGGAGGGTTCTCGGTTGAACGTGGACGCTCATCGGACAGTCCTTGCCCATCATGACATATAGCACAGCTCATCGAGCAAAATGGCGTGAAAATAGTGTGTCCGTGTGAATGGGAGTCAATTGGCGCTAGCTCAAAAACCCAACATTAGCATGATTTTTGTCAACAAGAAGTACAACATTACAAATGTTTTCTGAGATGTGAGATTATTAACATGTTCTCTGTAATATCGTTTAGCTTTGGAATTGTGACACTACGTACTTTTGAGGAAATAGGCAGGTTTCTCCACTCATAGCCTGACTTTAGGAAGAGATTGAGTGACAATTAGTTTAGCAACCACGTGACGCAGCATGACAATGTGAAAGCGATTGGTCGACGGTATGCTTGGTGGGGCATTATACATTCTTCCATTAACCTCTTAAGGATCTGACCCTTTTTTTCAATTTTTGCCTAAAATGACATACCTGAATCTAACTGCCTGCAGCTCAGGACCTGAAGCAAGGATATGCATATTATTGA